ATGATTTTAAATATATATATTTAAAAAAAAATAAATATTTTTTAACTCACTTTATATACACATATTTAAATGATTTGGGAAACAATTTTTTTCTATTTAAAAATATTATTAATGCTGTTAACTAATAATAATAATAATAAATGGCAAATTAATTTATAGTTTATGTATGGGATCGGTATGTCATATATTATATACAGTATATACAGGTATATAAATTTATATATATATAAATGATTAGTTTTTGTATCACAATTATACTGTATTAAAATAAACCATATATGGCTGCTTATATTATATACAGTATTATATAATATATAATATAAGTACAAAAATTATTTTTATATGGTTTTATATATCATTTGACAGATATGCATAATTTTATACATAATATAATATATAATTTTATACTTAAAAAAACTAACATTTTTGCATATTATATAATAAATATTTAGTTTTTTGTTTGTTTGTTGGTGTTATAGTATTTAAATTTAGTGTTTAATTCCCAAAATAAAAAAAAACAAAATGTTGTGTAACCAACAAAACAAAAAATTTATTTCAAAAAATTTTTATTTTAGTTATTTGTCTGTTTGGTTGTTAAAATAATAAATTAAAAACTAAACAATCTGTGTGTGTATGTGTGTGTGTATGTGTGTGTGTGTGTGTGTGTGTGTGTGTGTGTGTGTGTGTGTGTAGACATGGTTTTGACAACACTTTAAGTCTATTTATAAGATTATTAATTTTGAATATATTTTTTTTGTTGGTTTCTTAATATTTAACGGCAAGTGTTTGTCCCTTACATATATAATATAAAGTACATTACATTAAAGTATATATACAGTACTGTATAGTCAAATATAAAAAAAATCCTGTATTTCCAGTACCTGACTATACAATAAGCAAATAATAATAATAAAATGTTTAAAAGTTATTGCATACCTTATTAAAAAAAATTTCTTTAAAAAAATTATCAAAATAACACATTCAACACATTTATTACACATGTATTTAAAATCTTATTTAGTATTATTATTATTATTATTATGAAAAATAGCAATAAATAAATTGCAATAATAATCATAATAACAATAAAACTATTTTTAAATATATATATTTTTAAAAATAATTTTTTTGTGTGTATATATATATATATATATATTGACTGTTAAATAATAAACACTTGTTTTTCTATTGAAAAACATTTATTAATATATTAAACGTTGTTTGAAAAAAAAACAAATAATAACAACAATATGTTTAAATAATTTATTTTTTCAAAAATAATTTTCTTAACAAAAAACAAAATATATATGACTTTTTAAATGTCTTTTTTGTTATTGTTTGGCTAATGATTTGAGGAAACGGTTTTTAACTAATAATACTAATAATAATTGTAATAACGGTAATCATCATTACTATACTGTATACTATTTATTATATATAATATTAGCAAATTTTTTTTTGTTTGTTAACGATAATTTTATTTTATTTTTTTTATTTATATTGTGTAAAAAAATCAATTTTTAAAATATACGACAAACTATCTGTTTGTTTGTTTGATACCATTAGTTTGTTGCCATAAAAATACCTGTATATATATATAGTATATACTGTATATAAATAGCAATTATAAGAAACGTTAGGTAAGATAGACAGGTAAATGTTAATAATGTATAGTTAGTAAGGGGTTAAACCATAGACCCGGTAGGTAGGTATGGGAGGGGAGGGGAGGTAGGGATAGACAAACTCCATGAAATGACAGTTTATAAGTACACTAAATGTTTTTGTTTTTAAAAATTATTTTGTTGTTGTTTTTATTATTTTATTATTTTGATTTTGTCAAAATGTAATGACTGTTATTATTATTATTATTAGTTTATAATATATATTTTGTTATCATATAAATGATTATAAAAATTTGATTCAATTGAATGATATTACGGAACTGACAGTTAAGAAATAGTTATAATAATAATAATAAATTTTATTTTGTTTTCAATCAAATCTTGTTTTGTATATTAAATTGTATTTTTTGATATGTTTTTTCATTAAGATTTTATATATGAGTTTAAAAAATCAAACCGTTTTGCTTTATACATGTATAGATTAGAAAAAAATAAATATATTTTTTTAAATTTAAAAAATACTAATCAATTTCTATTTTGTTTAATTGAACAAAAAAAATCTTAATTTAAAATATTTAATTTTAATTTCAATTAGTTTTTCTTTCAAAAAGTCTTTAAATTATATGAAAAATTTCTAAAATTTCATTACTTATATAGTATTAAAAATATATTTTTTAAGGAAATAGTATTTTTTTAAAAAAATATCAAATTAAAGATAATTTATCAGATCATTATATAACTGTATTTTATTAGCTATTATTTATCTTATTAATGATTAAATAATTTATATAATATATTTAACAGTTAAAAATAATATAATTTATAAGTGCTATAATTCTACAGCAAAACAAAAAAAAAATAATAATAACTAAAAATATATAAATATATTAAAAATTACTTAACTTTAAGTTGATATTCATTAAAATTTATTTTTATTTTTTTCGGTGTAAATATTTTATATATGTATCATTAATTTAATTTAAAGTTATATATATTTATTAATATCTATATTTATTTTTATTTTAGGAGAAAAAGATAGCTTCAAATTACTAAAATATTTAGTTTTATTTTTTTTATATATAGACTCTCTCTCTCTCTCTCTCTCTCTCTCTCTTTCATTCATTTACTCACTCTTTTAATAATAAGTAATTGCAATAACTTTAGGCAATACTATATAAAAAAAAGTATTTCTAAATAACTTAATAATAATAATAATAAATAAACAAAAATAACTATTTCTATATACTTTAAGTCTCTTATCGTTTATCGTATGAAATAAGTTATCATTTATTATTTTGTTATATATATATAATCACGAATTTTTGTTTGATTTAATTATTTAATTATAAATATCAATAAATATATATTAAATGTATAATTGTCAGATTAAATTACATTTACTTAAAAATTATAATAATTATTATTATTATTACTTAATGTTTTTCATATATGGGAAATAATTAATAACATATTATAAAGTGTGTGATAAAAAAAATTGCATAATTTATTTACTTTTTTAAAACTTATTTATATCATATACTGTATGTAAGCTATATGTATATATATAGTTAAATCTTTTAATTTAATTTTGTTTATTTTATTTTTAGAAAATTAATATTCATAACTATCATTAAAAAAAAATTTTTTTTTGGATAAATAATTATATAATAATGTTTAATATAATGACTAACATTTATAAAATAGATTGCTAATTTGCGTAATTTTAATTATAATTAAATTTTTTATAAATAATAATAATAACAACAAATAAAATTATTTATATAAACTTATTAAACTTAATATGCGTGAAAATGTATACTTAATAAAATATAAAACAACAACAACAACAAAAAAAATATTTATCAGTAATTATGTGAACGTAAAATAATTATCAAAAAAAAATTTCTAAAATAAAATCAGATATAATATAATATTATATTATAATACAGTAAAAATACATATAATATTAATAATAATATAAAAGTGTAGATTAAATAATTTATGGCTAATGAATAGTGTTTTTTTTGTTGTTGAATAATGACTTTTAATAATATCGTATATATTTAAGTGTTTATAATATTAAAAAATATAAATTTTTTATGATAATAAAAAAATAACTGAATGATTTATAACAAACACTTAAAACACATATATATATATATATTATATATAAATACTAAATATTTTATCACACAATTTATTAGTTTAATATCATTTATGTAGCAAATAATAATCCAGATATATATATATTAAATGTTTAATAAATATTTTAATTAATAATTTTTTCATTTTTTGTTTTATGAAATCTCAATAAACTATATATTGAAATGTCAATTATATTATATTACATGTACTGAAAATAATATTATAATAATTTATTAATTATAAAATATACTGTATAATGATAATTATATAATACAGTTGTTAATGTGTAATACTGATAATATAATATTTTAATACCTATTAATTAATACCTAAAAAAATATAACTTATGACTGAATGTTGTAACTAAATTTTTTACATTTAATTATTAAAATATTTATTGAATTTTTATATTTTTAAATTTCATTAGATTAGTTTTCACACTATACTGTAATATTTAAATACAATATTAACAATATTTTTAAAACTAAATTTAAACAAATAATTTATATTAAGATGCTATGAAAATCTTAAGACAATAATCAAAATTAAATATTTATTAATAAAATTAAATTTTTTTTTAATAAAAATTATAAATAAAATATGTGTATAAAATTTAATATTCACTAATAGTAATAATAATAACTTTAATAATATTGTTTGTCATTAGCAAACATTTTCCCATAAGTACCCTCTTTATTATAGACTGATAATAATAATAATAATAATAATAATAAATTATTATGTTTGTCATTGAATTTTAATTGTATTGATTATTATTATTTTTATTATTACAATATTATCGTAAAATTTCACCCATGAAAAAATAGATAATAATTAATCTCTATGTCTATTATATATGACATTTAATGTCAAATATATATTTTTTAGACGGATTTGACTATTTTTTTGTTGTTTTGTTTCATTGATTAAATTAATTATTGTTAATATACTGTAATAAGTTTATATGAGACATAACTTTGTTGTCAACTTGTTGTATATATATATATATATATATATATATATATATATATATACTGTATATATAATAGTTTTATATAATAGTAATAGTAGTAGTAGTTGTAGTGTTTATGACAGGTATACATATACAATACAATACCTTATATTTTATCTAATCTATTATTATTAGTTAGTTAGTGTAGATAATATACCTGTATATACAGCACAGGTAGTTAGTTAATAACTACTAATATACTTCAATGACTATAGTCCTGTATATAGTTAATTATAATTATTGTTGCTATTGTTGTTGTTGTTGTTGTTGTATAAATTGAATTGTTAATAACTTATGTGTCTTTTTAGTATTTTTAGGTAATTTTTTGGTTAAAATAAAAATTGTAGTATTTTTTTGTTTGTTTGTTTGTTAACTCTAATATACAATTGAAATACTACTGTAGTTTACTTGTTTATTATCAACAAAAAAAATATTAGTCTATAACAATAATATTAGTTAGTTAGTAGTAGTAGTAATAATAATAATAGCACTAAACATTAGTTTTTTTAATTATACAATAAAAGTTACAGTAATTTTGAACAAAAAAAAATTTATAAAGTATTAAGTATAGTAAAGATTTTATATTTGATTTATAATTGATATCAATAGCGAAAAAAACTATTACTGTATTGTTTATAATACAATTTGTTATATTGTATTTTGTTAATGTGTTATCAAATAAAAATAAAAACATATTGTCAATTATTAGTTTAATATACTGCAAATTAATTAATATAAATTAATTAATTGATTGATTAATTGCATTAGAAAATTATATTTAATTAGATATATATATATATTCATATAATAATTTGTTGCTATAATACACATAAATTATATACCTGTATAAAAAACTTATTATTAAAATTATATGGAAAATAAAAATTTTAAAAATTATCATTTAATATCCTTATATTTAAGTGTTAGTCATACTACTTATGTATTTCAATATTAATTATTTGTGTATTTTTTTAAAAAAACTAATTATTTATCTCATACTATTGTCATATGATATTTATTTCATTATTATTATTTATTAATTAATTTTTATAATTTTTATTTAAGTAATTGTTTATTTTTTACTCTCTCTCTCTCTCTCTCTCTCTCTCTCTCTCTCTCTCAAAGATTATGAGATTAATAATTATTTTTTTATTTATTATTGTTTGTTATTTTTGTTGTTATGTTAGAAATCACTTTCTATTTTATTTGTCTCTAGTTGTTGTTAATTGTTTTATTAATTATTATTATTTAAAAAAAATAAAATAATTTTGTGTTATTTTAGGATTATTATGCAATAAAACACAAAAATAAATAAATAAAATATTTATATATAGTTTACGACAAAATATATATAACATATTTCTAAATTTTTTTTAATATAAAAGTGAAATTAATAATATTAATGATATATATATATTATGATTAATAATATTATATAAATAATACATTACACGTTAAATGAGATCTAAATTTAAATATTTAAATAACATTTAAATTAACAAACATATAATGTATGATATAATGAATAATATAATAAAATTAATTATTTTTTACCCACAATTAAACAAACAGTTTTGGAAAATAAAACTAAAAGTTTTTTTTCTGTTAAACCATTTATAAGTCTATGGTTATAAATAATAATAATAATAATAATAAACAAAAATAATGTTAATTAAATGTGAAAACCATATTAAGGAAAGTTATGTATTTTAATTAATTTAATTGTATATATATTTTGTTGTTATTATTGTAGTTGTAGTCATTCAGAAACAATGATACATATATTTTTTGATTTAATATATCCGCCAATTATTAAATTATATTAGTTTTTTATTGTATTCAAATACCGGTATACATATACAATATAATACAGTGTATATATGTATATCATATGTTAAAAAAACAATAGTAAATGGTTTACCGGTACTATTTAATATTTAAATCATTGATAATAGTGTATTATACCTGAATATATAAATTATATTATATACATATATATATTGTATTGTAAAATACAATTTATTTAATACATGTAATGAGAAATCGTGATTATTGTATATTTAAAAAAAAATCAAACATACATAGGATATAATCACTAAAACGTTTTACATATTATATATCCATATATTTATAATTTACAAAATAAATAAAAATCATATTTATATGTTTAATATATCATATTATTATTATTATTATTAAAGTATATTATTATAATCATAATTCCTGTATAAACAATATATGATTAACAATCAAAAAAATAATACTGGATTATTATATCAATAATAATAATAATAATCATAATATTTGCTGTACTCTATATTAGTCACGTATTTATGTAATAAAACAAAACAAAAAAATCATCGATAGTTACAAACCATTTGAAACAATTTTTCAACCCAGGTCAACAAATAATAATAATAATAATATATAGTAATATCATAATTATATAATAAAATTATTTAAAAAAACAAAAAACTTACCGCAATTTTGCACAACTCTTTATATGAGGCAATACGAGAGCGAACCGAACTAATAGCTAGTAGACCATCATTATCATCGCCATTGACAGCTACAGTTCCCGGCGACTGTCCTCCCGATAGTATGCCGCCGCCACCACTGACTGCAATAACTACCTGTCCGGTACTATCGGCTGCTGTTGCTGTCGTTTTTGGCGAATATTGCGGTGACAGTGTAGCCGTACTGATTGGACTGCTGGTACCGCTGCTAGTATTGCTGCTACCGTTGGTGGCGGTGGCGCCAGTAGAAATGGTCGACACCGACAGATGCTGGCCAACCGGTACCCGTATTGTTGTCGATACCGTATGTAGTGAACTATTATTACTATTGATAGACGAAGCCGAGTCCTCATTGAAACCTTCGTCTTCGATGTCGATTTCATCGGCAGCGTCCTCGGCGTCTACGGTATCGGCACCAGTAGCCGCTAGAGCACCGGTAGTAGTAGTAGTAGTAGTAGTAGGCGCCAGCAATTGACCATGCACCATTTTAGTTATGTCTGGCACTACTTCATCACTATTAGTATTATTATTATGCAAATGATGGACAGGTAGTACACATTTTGCATATTTAGCATTACTATCATTATTACTATTATTATTATTCATATTATTATTATTATTATAGTGATGTATATTATTATAATGATTAGTATTATTATTATTTTGTTGTTGTTGTTGTTGTTGTTTGACGTTAACCAACATTTCCATTGATTTTTGTTGTTGGGATTGATTATCACTTGTTGTAACTATTGATGACTTATTATTGATGTTTTCGTTGTTAATACTAATTATTGAAATCATTTTATTTTACTTTTTTATTAATTAGTTTCTCAATAATTATCGAGTATTTATATATATATAAAATATTTATTGACTGAGATTTTTTATATAGATTATTTGTTATCAAATAAATACTAATTTTTATATATATCAGTAAATTTAAGTAATTATTATTAATAATAATTAGTCAATAATTTAATCTTTTATTTTTAGTATTATTAATTATTAGGGTTTAATGTACAGTTAGTTAGATATTATTATTATTATTATTATTACACATAAATATAGTAATATTTTTTTAATCTAATAAACTTTATGATTAAGATGTGCTAATATTTGACAATTATTTTATCAATTTTTTTTAACAAACATTTAAAAATATTTATTAATACATTATTATTATCATTATTATTGTCTAAATTTTGACTAAACATCAAAAAATAATATTTTTATGTTAAATATTTCCGTAATTTTGTTTTTTGTTTTGTTAACACATTTGAATAATAATAATAATAGTAAATAACTAAATAAATAAAATTAAATGCAAAATATTAGTCACACACACACACACACAACAAAAATTATTGGCTATCAAACAAACTAAAAATGTTTCAAACTATTCATAACAATATTCATATTATTATTATTATTAATGTTTTAAATACTGTACTTTTAATACAAATAAAAATTTTGTATATTATTTTACAGTCAGTCAGTATTGAATTATATAACACATGTGTGTGTGTGTGTTATACACAGTTAGTTTGAAAAGTGGTTTTTAAAATAATAATAATAATAATTCAATGGACTGTCATATATAAAGTATATAAATTATAAAACGATTTAAACAAGTTTATGGATACCACCGATGATGATATATACTGTATATATATCTATATAACAAACTGAGAGATGATCGCACTGTTAGGTTATAACCATATGATAGGGTTGTTGTTGTTGTTGTTGTCTATAATAGTTGTGTTCAGTTAGGGTTCAGTTGACTTCACTTCTCAAAAAAAAATTAAAATAAAATAAAATACAGTAATAATAATAATAATAATTCATTTATATTACAACACAATCACTTTACAGTCAAATATGATAACAACAACAATAATAAAAAAAAAGTTTTTGTTGTTGAAAAAAAACTTTATGTGGTTTACAAACAAACAAACTAAACAACAAAAAAAACTATATATGAGTTTTCAAATAAATATAATGTCTATTATATATATATATATATATATATATATATATATATATATATATATATATATATATATAAAACACAGTCCCCTCCAGGAGGTTATACTCCTTTAGCACTCAACACACACACATGGATGAGACACTAATTTTTTTGTTGTTGAAATAGGTTTTTAAACATATATAATAAGTAGTAGTAGTAGTAGTAGTAGAAAAAACCAAATTTTTTTTCATAAAAACCAATTTTTTTCACAAAATTTCTAAATACACGACAAAACTTCATTCAATGATTTTAGTGTATATATACTGTATATACTGTATATATATATATATATATATGAAAAAAATAGTCGAAGCAATTAAATATCAATTGCTGGCGAACCGTACCGATTGACTGATTATAAATGACTTACACTATAGTGTATGTATGTATACAACAACTACTACTCCTTATATAAAAGATAGTCAGTCACTGTTGTTGTTGTTGTTGTTAATACAATGTAATGTTTTTTGAAAATTCAATGATTTAAGACCAGAGTTGGAGAGAGAGAGAGAGAGAGAGAGAGAGAGCACAGGTATGTTACTTATGTATGAATGTGTCTGTAATGTGTTTTACGAAAGTCCTAAAAGCACATCAGGTATACTGTATATGAATACAGGTATGAATATTATAAAAAAATAACTACCGGTGCACACGCATGTCTATTGCTTAGTATTAATAGTATTACCTGTTTGTCTGTATGTGTGTGTGTGTGTTTTTTTTTATAAAAAAAACTACTATCTGGTAATGTTATGTAACAGTTATAATCATAATGTATTGTAAAATTATATTGTATTTTATTGTATTAAATGAGATGAAAATTATTAATTAAGTTATGATTTTCTAATTTTTTAATTAATAATTAATACAAAAAAATATATATTTAAATAATAATTTTATTTATTTATTTAAAAAATTATTATTCAAAATTTTTTATTGAGTTTTTTTAAAAAATAAATAAATAATTAAATAGAAAATTAAATAATAAATAAATTGACGACAATATTATGAAACTTATATAACAATAATAATATTTTTTAATTAAATAAATTTATGCATAAATTATTAATTGCTATAAAGTTTAAAAAATTATTTCTAAAAACAAGATTAAAAAAATATATATTTTTAAAAATGTTATTTAGATTACAGATTTATTAATAAACTAAAGTATTATTGTTTTATTCAACAACAAAAAAATATATACAATAAAGTGTTGAAATTATTGCCAAAAAATTTATAAAATTAAATAAAAGAAAAATAATATTTTTTATTATAGAAATTATTTTTAAAACTTGAATTGTATGAAAACAATATATTTAGAAAAATATATATATAATACAATGTGTGTACAAAAAAATAAATAAATAAATCCAATAGAAAAAATACTATACAATGAAAGTTAGTTTTAATTTTAGAAATTTTAATTTATTAGAAATACTGTATAATATATAAAATATATTATATCAAAAAAACTAATTTATTTATAATACTTTATAATAATATATATATATATATTTATTTTGTTTGTTAAGGTTGATTGTACATCAAATGAAATAAAAATTGGTTTCAATGATTCACTGATTAATTTTTTATTATTATTATTATAATAACAATAACAAAACTTTTACCACAATTATTATTATATGAGAATTTTTCAGACAAAACACATAACAGACACCAAAAAAATGAGTTTTTTGGTCTAAATATTTGGACGAAAATTGAAAATTTAATTTTGTTTTTTTTTTGGTAAAAATTAAATTAAATGAAAATAAAAATAAAAATAAATATATAAATAAATTTATAATTTTTTTCCCAAAATCATGACTTTTTTTATGATATTCAATGAGAAATTTGTTGTTATTTTTGTAAGTAATTAATCTTTTGAAAAATTAATGTTAATTTTATTGTTGTTTTGTTTTGTTTAAAACTAATACCTAATGATTATAAAAAAGCCAACTAATCTTTTGAATTTTTTTTAAAATAAATATTATTATTATTATCATTATTATTAGAAAATATATTTCAAACAATAATTAAATACAATAAAAAGTAAAAATAAGTTAGAGATTTCACATTTTTTTTATTATCTCTCTCTCTCTCTCTCTATATATATATATATATATATATATATATGTTATTTTTAAATATTTTTTTTTTGCTAACATCGCTAATATATAAATCTATTATTAGATACACAACTTTCCCATATATTGTATAAACACAGTATATATATAATATATATATAATATTAATTTGTATTTATAATTTTGAGGACACATAACTTAACATTATTAATAATAATAAATTGTATATAAAAATGATTTTGTTTTAAAAAACTATAAATAAAAAAATCGCTACTTTAAAATGTAATAGTTTAATATATAATTTTGTTTAAAATTTGTATTAATTTGTTATTAATGTTAATTGTTAATCTAAATATAATGTATATATATACTGTATATATATAATTGATTACTATCTATAAAATATTAATTACAATAGAAATTAATAATGATAATAATAATTTTATTTTCAGTATATAAATTATTTATACAATATTTTTAATAAACTATTAATATATATAAAAAAATACTTTTGCTTTAAAACTACTGTAAATAACTTTTAATTTATTTGTTTTTAAAAAAATTGTATTTATTTATTACAAGTGAAATAAATAAACACATAAATCTAACATAATTTTGTTTATATATGTTATATAAAACCATTATATTTTTATGATTAATACATTCACTAATTAATTAAGGATACGGCAAAAAATAAAATAAAAACTGATAATAATATTAATAAACAATTTATATGGCTTTTTTAAAATAAAATTTTAACCTTAATTTAGGTTTTAAAGTCATAACCTTTTTAGTTGTTAGTGAAGTGAATGCAAGAGAGAGAGAGAGAGAGAGAGAGAGAGAGAGCTATGAATTTTAATTACATTTCACATCAAACCTATCGTGAATATCGTTAAAAAAAACTAAAATAATAACTATATTTATATTTATTATTATTATTATATAGTAATCTATATATACAGTATATATATCTTTATATTTCTATCTTTCTTTCAGAATATTATTATATTACATAAAAAAATCAGTCATTTAGTCATTTATAAAAAATGTTTGTAAAGCAATTTTTTTCGCTTAAAATCAGAAAAAAAAAATAATTTACACATCAAAGCCTAACATGAAAAAATAGGTGTCAATAATATTGTTGTATTTATATATATAGTATTATATATTCAATAGTTTTATAATATAGTTGTATTGTTTCATAATAATAATAATACTAATCATAATAATTATTATTGACATTTAAATCGTGACTATATTTCAAAATAAGTTTTAAATTTTTTTTTAAAAATTATATAATTTTCTTTACATTGAATTTTTAGTGTGTCGTTCATTGATTATTATTATAATTTTATAAATAAGATTTTACGTATGAAAAACAATTATTTGATGTAAAAAATTTATTGTTAATATTTTTCTCAGTGTAATTATAATAAATAATACTTAAATAATTTTATCAATCAATAAAAATGTCTTATCTATTATTATTATTATTACTAATATTTAGATTTTTCTGAGAAAAAAAATATTACTACTATTGTTTCAAAAAATTTATTTCGTAATCATAATTTATTTCATTATAAATTGATAATAATTAATACTACAACTAATGATAATTATTATATTAATTAAAAAAATAAATGTCAATAAAAGTTGATATTGACTTACAATTGAATTTCATTGATTTCATTAATAATTTTTTTTGATAGATTTATTGCCAATAATATTAACTATAAATAATATTTCAAACATTTATTTCACACATCAATATATAGACATATAGATAATTATGTCAAATGTGATTATAGTATATATATATAAATAATTTATATTATAATATTATATATTTTTAGCACATTTCATATACAACTAATTAAACACAAATTTTTTGTTGTTATTGTTGTTTACATCTATAGTTAGTTATATTTAAATTAGCTAATTTATTTATAATTAATACTATTCAAAGAAAAAAATAAAGTAAAATTATTTGTTAAATTAAATCATAATTGTATTAAATAAAAAATTTAAAATAAAAATTCATGTCATATAATTAGATCCTAATAATACAGTTAGAAAAAATATATATTTGCAATTAAATTTTATTGCCAATTATAAAATACATGTATTAAATTATTTTAAATTAACTACATTATTATTATTATCATAAGTATTATTACAATTGTAATTTTATTTGGCAATTATAATTTAAAAATTTTTTTAAAAAAAATTAATACAAACTATATATTAATATAATTTACTAAACAACAAAATAAAAACATTTTTAAAAATTCATTCAAAAAACTAATTGCTTATATATATATATATATAAAATATAAATATAGTTTATAAAAGTTTTTTTTAAATAAAAAAACTAAAATATTTATCTATAATTCCCTGTCATATCCTGTTAGTCGAGAAGTAACTGATTTTTGTTTGTTTTGTTTTTTTTGTTGTTTTACCGACAAAATGTTTTTAATAGTTTTTAGTGTTAAAGATAATAATGTTAAGTAAAGTCCTTATTTAATAAATGTCATACAAAATTAGGAATTTTAATGATAATAATCTAAGGTATATACTGTATATATGTATATATATATATATATATAGTATAATATTAAATATATATTTTTTTATTAGTTCACAGAAAATTAAATACTAAAGTAATGAAATATATATAATATATATAAATAGATATATTTATATACAGTATATATTTAACACATATCTCAACATAATATCTAAATATAATAGAAACATATCATATATAATATATATATATATATATATATATATATATGTTATATACCTATATATCTATATCATAGTAATTATATAAATAAGTATTTATATAAATTTTTGCTGATAATATAAAAAATATTAATTTTATTGAGATTAAATAAATACTAAATTATAGTATACTATTATTATTAGTTATTAAAACTATATTTATCAATTTGTTTGACATAATAATTATAATAATATAGAAAAATAATAATGAATTTTTAGAATTTTTATTTATATAAAGTATTTATTTACATTTATATTGTTTTTAAATGTCTCAATAATCATTAAAAATAAATAAATTTTTTAATACTTTAATACACACAAAAAAACTGTATTTAATAGTATTGTCAAAAATATGTTATATTATATATATAAAAATAAATAAATAATAAAACTGTTATTATTGTGTCAAATCAAAAAATTTTTTTAGGCACAATATAATTAGTGTCAATATTAATACTATAGCTAGAAATAATATAATAATTATCCCATATTTTTTTTAATATATGTTACTTGATATTAGTAATAATTTTTGTCATTATTTTAATGTATATAATTTAAATGCTATAATTATTTATATATTGTATAGGATTGGTGTATATATATATATTTAGACAACTATTATACGGTATTTAAATGTATGTTATCTACGATTGCCAACAACAGGTATACTAAAATACCGGACACTTATTAACTGTTTTATATATATATATATATATATATATATTCGACTTCTAAGTCGAAAATCGAAATATTTTAAGTAATATTTTTTTAATAATTATAAAGTTTTTTGTTGTTAGCATTATTTTTGCGGTTTATTAGTTAGTTAATCATAATATGTTTTATTTGACTTTTAATTCAATCATTTACTCTATACTTGTTATAGTTTTAAATTAAAAAATTATATAATCATTATATACTATAGTATTAAAATAAACTGTTCGATTATATTCAAAACCAAAACAATAATTTCCGCCAACTAATACAGTATGGTATATATATGCGCACAATATTAGTGTTTATTGTTTAGTGAAAAAATTCTTTCAAACAAAACATAGATTATATTTTACATAATTACTATAACTTGTATACAACTTAAATAGATACCTCTGTTTTGGCGCTTAAAATTATCAGATAAATAATTAATGATAACAGTTATAAGGGCTTATATTAATGTTAGAGTTTATTATATTTAGTTACAATTATTTTTTGGAAAAATACACCATACGTGTTATTTTTATTAAACTTAATATTTATTGAATTGATTTGATAGAAAAATTTATTGCCAAAATATAAAACTATAAGAAAAATAACAAATCAAATAAATATTAATAACAAAGTTATAAGTATTGGTTCAGTTAATAAAATAATTGTAAAAAATGTTAAAAATAATTATAAATTTTCTTCAATATATAGAAAACATTTGCTAAAACATAAAAAATAAATTTCTAGGGTCATATCACGCTGAAAGCACTGATTCTCCCAGTTTTTCTGATCAAAATCACTTTTTGTTGGAACAATTCATCAACAAACATAATGATAAAAAATGAAGCGACAAATCTAAAGGAAAGTCCAAATCAACATTTGTTGAGATGATAGCACATCCAAGATATGTATTAGTTTGGGCGGCAATTTCGAGTGAGTAAAGGAATGATAGGTTCCATTCTTTATTGAAGATCATAACGGAAAGAGAGTTACAGTAACCAAAGAAAGCTATCAAAGTGTAATTAAAAAGTTTTAATTAAAAAAATATTTAAACAAGACAGAGCTTCAAGTCATACCAGTATTTTTCTAGGATCACCAATTTACTTGAATTAAAACAATATATAATTAAAAATTTTAATATTATTAAAACTGATTTAAATTTAATTCAATCTGTAATTAATAATTTTGTTACTCGACGTAAATATTTTTTGATTCATAAAAGAACTGCTGTCCCGAAAATATTTTTTTATTTTTATTTATTTATATTTATTTTTATTATATTTATTTTTTTGCATATAATAATATAAGGGGTTTAATTTTCAAAAAATTAACATTAATTAATTTAAACATAAAAAGACAAAATTAATTTCTAAATTTTTGATATCTCTATTTAAGTTTGACAGACGTTTGACACAATATTTTATTTGTTTGAATAGTTTGTATTAAGTTATATTAAGTGTAATCTATGATAAATCTATTTATGCTTATGTGTTGAATCTACTATTGTTTTAGTTTTGAATATAATTGAATTTAAAGTTTTTATGTCTAAACTGTAATCAAATAAGTGTTTGATTTTTCACATGTGATGGAAGTATTGATTCAATTCAAATACAATATTAACTGTCAATTGAATTATCAAATGTATTACACAATACATAACACAAACACAACAACAATAACAACACGTGTTATGCAATTAAACGCGCGATTTATGTCCAGTAGTTATATAACAATCACAACAACAACACGTGTTGGCCATCAATGGATTATTTGACCACATTTGACAACATATCGTCAGTACGGCCGCTGATGGCCAGTGAGAGTCGCCGCCAATCGATACGTTTGTTAAGTGTTTTCGGTAATAACGGCGCGGAAGTGATATTCGCCACAATTGACGACAAAGTGTACGGTTTTGGTCACAATCGATACGGACTATTGGGTTTGTCGACCAACGAACGGGACATTTCGAGGCCACAGCTCAATCGGACACTTAGCGGCCGACAAGTGGTCAACATTTACTGGTCATACGATTCGTGTTTTGGCCGTACATCGACTGGCCAGTGGTACGGCTGGGGTTACAATGTGTACGGCTCGCTTGGTATCGGTAAGACTGGCACCGAATGTGTGACTACACCCGTACTTATAGCCGAACTTTCGGGTCTGGATGTGGTGGCCGTTGCGTGCGGCGGCAAACATACACTACTGATGACCAGCGATCGGCTGGTCTACGGCTGGGGTGATAACAATTTCGGTCAATTGGGCGACAAAACATTCAACAACTGTTTCGCACCGAAATTGCTATTCAATCGGCAATTTGTGTCCATCAGTTGCGGACTGAATCACTCGATCGGTTTAACCGATTGCGGCCAACTCTATACGTGGGGTATCAATGAAAAAGGACAGCTCGGCTGTCATCCGGATTGCGAGCCGCAACCAGTTGTTATCGATCACAAGTACTCTGTACGCAATCAACCGAAACCGTTGGTGACGGTGGCCGACGGCTGCAGCGAACTGGTCGCCAGCAAACAAGTAGTGGTCAAAGCTGTTTGCGGACCCGACTATACATTGATATTGACGGCCAGTGGCAGTGTCTATGGTTTCGGTTACAATACGTGGGGATTGATACGAAACGCTATGAAATCTGTCTACTATTTACCGATTTGTTTGGCAGACAACAACCGATTTTGCGATATTGCCGCCAGTTTTTTGGGCCGACTCAGCATTGGTGTCACTCTTGACGGTGTCTATTATTTTTGGGGCCGCGAACCGAATGTTCCCGAATATGAATCGTTGTCCTCGTCGTCGTCGTCAGACCCGCAGATGTCCACCGAAGTGATGATCGACGAAATGTATGCCCGATATTCGCGAACAAATAAAGCGCTGAAGACATTCATACTGAAAGAGTTGGACACAAAAACATTGATCACAACAACAACGACGGATGTCTTGAATGATGACGATGTCTACGATTCGGGAGATGAAAACCAATCGACAATAACAACAGCACTAAGAGATGTCAATTCATTGATAGGAAAGCCTATTATTGACAGACCATTGGTTAGTAGTCGTGAGGCGACTGTTGTTGTCAATCAAGTGATCAAATCTAGTGATAATAATAATAAATCTCAATCTATTAGCGATAATTCATTTGTCAGGTATTTTATATCTAATAAATATTAAGTTATATAATATTTAAAAATTTATATTTCATTATATTTTTATTATACTTCCGATTGAAAGCATTTTTATGGACAATATTTTCTCGTCATTTAACTCATCGGTTGATTCAGATGTTGTGTTCATTATTGATGGCCAACACATTCATTGTCATCAAACAGTTCTCAGATTACGTAACAAAATGTTTTGGCAAAAGTGTCGGTCAGTAGCTGTCGAAGTGGTCAACAATAACAGCAATAACAACAACAACAACATGAAGACAGTGGAGACCATCGATGAGATACACATTACTACCTATTCGTACGACACTTTCTATGAGTTTGTCCGCTATTTATACGGCTTTGAACCCGAAATCAATGACTCTAATTGTAAATCACTTATAAAGTTAGGCAAAGTCTACGATGAAGACCTACTAATTGATCGTTGTATTGAATATTTAATTAAAAATTAATTATTTTTTTTTGTATTTATGATTATAAAAATTATAATTGATAAAATAATTACATCACCGGTAATATGTTATTATGTTTAAAAATAATAGAAATTTACTTTTATAATTACCGTAATTGTTATTTAAAAAAATTAAACTTTTAATTAATACTTTTTTTTTAAAATTTATATTTGTTTTATAAACATCTAGTATTAAGTTTAAGTATATTTAATTAGTATAACAATTGTTATTTTTAAATATATATATATATATAAGATAACTAAATTTAATTTTCAATATAATAGGTTATTTAAATTTACCGGTAGTTACTAATTAAACTAAGTAATGTTATTAAATAAGTTAAAAAAAATAATTTCTATAATTTATTTTATAAGTTTTTATTGTAGAATTTAATTACATAAAAATTTTTATTAAACAAAATATTAGTTAATTAGATCTCAATGATTATTAAAAAAAATAAAATAAATATTTTTATAGACAGCATACATAAAATAAAAAATTGTTTAAATAAAAAAGCCGGATTGTAAAAAATGTCTATCCATTGGACGGCCAGCAAACAGGTATATCTATCAAAGCTTAGGTAGAGTTTGGCATTTATGCGATGCATATGAACGCCGACTACTATCCCAATCCCGATCAGTTCAATGTCGACCGTTTTCTACCGGAAAACCGTAACTAACTGACACCCTATGCATTCATACCGTTCGGATTAAGGCCGCGACAGTGTATTGCCAAACGGTTTTCAATGATTAATATGAAACTAACACTCGCGACACTTGTATTGAAATACCGATTCAATACATGTTCACAAACAGATATACCAACCAAAGTATATATATATATATAAGTAGTTTTTCAAATAAACCCAAACGTATTAATTTGAAAATTGAATCTAGATAATTTTTTTTATTGTATTATTATTATAATTATTACATTTGTTATGTATTTTTTAAAAAATAAATTTTAATTAAATTTTATTATATTTATAGTGATAGCTCTTTACAATTACTACTGATTTCAATAGAGGTCTACTTAAACCAAAAAATATAATATTAATTTTAAAATTTAAAAATTAATTAAAAAATTTACGATAATTTTTTATAATTTTTTAAAAATAATTACAATTTAATATCTATTGATTATTATAAAATTTAACACCTGTATGATATATACTATTTTAATAAAATTTAATTTTTTATGTTAGTATAAATATAATACAAATTATTTTAATAGTTAAAATTATGTTTAATATATGTTTCATATTTATTTTGCAAATAATTATTTTACTATTATAATAATTGAAGACTTGTGTTAACATTTTTATTTTTTTTTAAATTTTAAGTATGCTATACAATATGACTTTATTAAAAATTTTTGTTTGTTTAATTTTAATGTTGCTTTAAACTAATATAATATAGGTATTTTAAAATAACATTTAAAATGATTTTCCATTTTTTTTACTAATAATAATCTAATAGAAAGTTGAGTAGAATATATGAAATACGATTACAATTACTATATATATATATATATATATATATATATTCAGTATATTCAGTACTTTATTAAAAAAATTTTCTACATTTTAGTTTTAAAAAATATTAAAACAATATTAATTAAAAAAAAATATGTTGTCTATATTATTAATAATTTTTATAACTACAGTACTAATATTTATTTATAAGTAAGTTTTGCAAATAAATAATTATAAATCAATTAAAATTTTTTAGTAAATAATATAATTAAATACAATTAAATAAATAGATATTTTACTCGACATTTTGATTATTGGTCAAAACGGGGTATAACTGGTCCGAAACCAGTCATCGGTTTCGGCAATAATCTGCCGCTAATATGGCGCACGCGGGCCGATGTCGATGTCCAGCGTATGAATAAATATGGACACATATATGGGTAACAGTTTATTATATCCTATTTATTAGTATTACATGTTTCTAAAACTATTGGAAAAATAAGTTACAAATAATATCTATTTACATATTATTATTATTATACCTATAGTTACTTTTACGGAGATCTACCGATTCTTATAACTACTGATCCAAATCTAATCAAACAGATCTGTTTGAATGATTGGCCAAACTTTGTTAACCGATCCAATCATGTGGTCCAAAGTTCACACAATCATCCAATACTTTGTCACAATATAGATGAAGCACAAGACACGGACTGGAAACGGATCCGATCTATAATGAGTACAGCTTTTACTTCAGCAAAGAGCAGATCAATGATGCCAAAGGTTAGGCAATGTTTTAGACAACTGACAACAGTTATGGACAGGTATGTCGCCAATGGCCAGACAATAGACATGCTTCAGATGTACAAAAACACAGTGATGGACATCGTAGCCGCTTCTGTATACTCTTTGGACTTGAACTCTGCGGTCAATCCTAATCATCCGTTTGTCACAAATATAAATCAAATTTTAGATCCCAAATGGTATCGTACGCTTGCATTGATTTTATTGCCACAGTTTGTCCTTAATTTGATTGGTATGAACCAACTGACCGACGATACATCCAACGAGTACTTCTTTCAGCTGACCCGTCATATTATAAGTCAGCGAAAAGCCGGCACTGGGACGGGTAGTGGTGGTAACGATAGTAGTGGTAAGCGCTGGGACTTTGTTGAGTTGCTTATGGAGGCGCACGCTATTGAAGACCAGACTATTAACGATAACAATAAAACAAATGAAGATAACTATAGACTCTATGAAAAGGGTATATATTGTATAGTTGTATTGAATGTTCAATCATAGTATTGTTGTTGTTGTTGATGATAGGTATGACTAAATACTTGACCGAAGACGAAGTCATAGCCAACGCTTGGTTTCTGACTAACGGCGGCTATGATGTAACAGTTGTTACCCTTTCGTTTGCCACCTTTGAGTTGGCCTGTAATCAAAGTGTTCAGCAAAAACTTTACGATGAAATTATGACAGTTGTCATCACTAACGATGATAATGACCAACAACTAGATGTCGATCGGTTGCATAATCTGCCGCTACTCGAGGCTGTCGTATGCGAAACACTACGCCTACATTCGCCGACTATAATGGAGGGCCGTATTGCCAAAAATGACTATCCATTGGGCGGCCGTCACACAGGCATCACTCTCCGAGCCGGAGAAACCATAGAGTTTGGTATCTATGCGATGCATATGAACGCCGACTACTATCCCAATCCCGAACAGTTCAATGTCGACCGTTTTCTACCGGAAAACCGTAACCAACTGACACCCTATGCTTTCTTACCGTTTGGTTTGGGTCCGCGACAGTGTATTGCCAAACGGTTTGCGCAAATGCTCGTCAAACTAACACTTGCGACACTTGTATTGAAATACCGATTCAATACATGTGAACAAACAGATATACCAACCAAAGTACATATAAGTAGTTTTTCAAATGCACCCAAATGTATTAATTTGAAAATTGAATCCAGATAATTTTTTATTGTATTATTATTATTACATTTGTTATGTATTTTAGAGAAAATCTTTTGATAGACTGATCCACAGTAAATATATATATATATATATATATATATATATATATATATATATTAAAATAGTTTTTTTTATATTTTTAGTATAAATAACTTTTATAATACAAATTATTTTAACATTCAATAGATAACAACATAAAAAAACTTATGTCCTAATGTTTCAAAAAAATGTTTCACATTGTCTTTTAATACAGTATTATTTTACTATAGATATTATAAAAATAAATTTTATATTATATTTAATCTAATTTTTTAATTAAAAAATAAATTTATTTAATTAAGTTAGTAAGCTTGAAAATATTTATAATTTTATATATTTATAAAATACACTTTAAGATTTTAAATAAAAATTTTAAATAAAAATTATAAATAAAGATTTTAAATAAAGATTTTAAATAAAGATTTTAAATAAAGATTTTAAATAGAAATTTTAAATAAAAATTCTGATTAAAAATTAAATAATTACATTACTTTAATTACAATTTACATTAATTACAAAATCAATTACAATTAATTTATATATAGTTTAATTACTTATTAATAAATTATTGACTATAATTTATAGTCTATCTGTTATCTAACAAAAAAATGTAAGCTTAGGTTAAGGTAGTTGTATAAGTGTATGTGTAGTGGTGGGTAAGGGTATCATTTTATATGATATATAATTTTATATATTATATTATATTAGAAAAATAGATTATCATTATTGAATGATAATTATATTGTATTGATCTCTCAAAACTAATTTAAAGTCAACAATGAATATTGATTTTCAAAAAAAAAACAAACAATTTTTTTATATATCATATATACTGTATATGCTATTCAATAAACAATTTTCTATTGGTTCTGTTAAAAAAAACAATAGTAAGCATAAATATCACTTTTAAAACTATAATACAATTTAGTTACTGAAAAAAATTTTCATTTAATTAATTTATTAGTTTATTAGATCTCTAGCTTATCATTACAACAATAATAGCAGACATTTAAAAAAAATTATCACAAAATGTTATCACAAGTTTTCCTTTATATTGTATTAATTAATACAATTTTTGTCGAATATATTGAGTCTATAGAGACAAAAATTCAAGGTTTGTATATAATATTAATAATAATATCAAATATTTTTATTATTTATTTTTTTAAAAAAAAATATTAACAATTTTTCCAATTAACCAATTTTAGGACATTGTAGGAAATTTGAAAATTTAGGTAAAATTATTTTTTTTTAAATATAAATAACAATAATTTCTAATTAAATGTTACACTATATATAATATTATATATATACTGTATATATATATATTGTTTAATACTATTTTATTTCAAATAGCTATAACACCGATGCAGTACATTGACTGTACATTTTTGAATTTGTTTGAATGTAAGAGTGATCCGGACAGTAGTGTAGACATTGTCGAGATATTGATGCCGGAAATGCTCAACAATAGTATGACCTGTAATGGTATTATAACCGACAACCATAAGGACAATCCGTTTGATTTGGTGTTAAGTAATGGCGAAATACATAAAGTTGTTTATAGCGAATATAATCTGATTGTAACTATAATTGACGGTAAGTTTTACTATATATATTAAACCTAAATTATAACTAATAAAACAACGAAACAAAACAAAATAATTAGGCGATAACTACTATCGTGAAGTTGGACTGTTCAATGATGGTCCCTGTGCTGGATCTAAAGTCCAGGGCTGGTCTATATATTTGGCACCCGAAGGCCAATGTATTACCAAACCGATGACCAGTTCGAAGCCATTGTTCGAGCACTTGAAGATTACCGGCAACTGTAAGGCCACCTGTAGTGGACACTCAATGTTTTCCTATAAACCTGGAATTGTACCCTAATTTTGCTAAAAAAATAATTGAAAATTAATAACTATAATAAAAATTTTTTAGTAAATATTTTTGTTTGTAATGTTTTGCTTAGAATAAAATTGCATTAAAATTGGTTAAAAATAAATTAAAAATAAAATTTAATTAGATTCAAAATTAAATAAATTGATTTACTTTTATTATTATTAATTTTTTTTTAATTTTCTACTAATTTTGTATCTGTATATATTTTACTAAATTATTTATATTATAAAGTTTTTTTTTAAATTAAAAATTTATATATTAAATATTTATAATACTAATAGTTTTAATATATTATTTTTTTTTATAAAAAATAGCATTTAATTGTTTGTGTGATTTTGAATGACGTCAATGATTGCACCGCAATATATAATAATTTGCTTATCATTAAAAAAAAATATTTATTTTTATTTTTTTGATTGTATTAGTGATGCGGACAGTAGTGTAGACATTGTTGCCCTATATTGACGCCCGAAATGATCAACAATAGTATGACCTATAATACCGATGGTTAGTACCGATAACCATAAGGACAATCCGTTTGATTTGGTTACTCAATAAATGTCGAAATATACATACAGTTATTAATTAGCAAATATAATAATCTGATTGTTGACTATACTGTAATTGACGGTAAGTTTTACACAAAACTAGTATACAGTATATTAAACTACAGTATAATAAACACAAACAAACAAAATATATGATACCTATTATTGTAAAGTTTAATTGTTCACTCGGGTCCCACACCCCCCCCCCTGTGCTGGATCTAAACTACATGTTTGGTCTATATATATTTGCCACCCATTTCAAAATTATTAAATTATAGTTAAATTAAAACAAAAAAATATATATAGTATTGATACCTTGTAAATAAATTTTAAAAAGTACAAATTTATATTTAGTTATTATTAATTGAAAATTTTAATAAGGCGTCGTTCACATATTACGTTCGCACTTTTTAAGAAATCTAGACCCCCTCCCTCCCCTATGTTCGCAATTGTTCGCATGTAGTAATTTAAAAAAATTACGTTCGCATGTCCCTAACCGTTACCCCCCCCCACCACAAAAAATAAAATATTAGCTAAATTCGAACGTTCTTAAAGACTATACCCCTCCCCTCCCCCTCGTTCGCAAAAGTTCGCTTTGGCCAACCCCCTCCCATCAAGTGCGAGGTGTATGTGAACCACCCCTAAGCTTATAAATTATTTATTTTACTAATTTTATTACTGCAAAATAAAACAAAAATTGTTATATTATATTTGTTATATTGATTTATTAATATTTAATATAATTAACTTAGTTGTGAGCAACTAATAATTTTTATATTGAAAGTTGTTTTTCTAAACAATTAGTTTAATTGAATTTAATGATTTGGTAATAACCCTATTATAACAAAATCAGTCTAAAAGTTATTTTAGAAACAAAAATTTAATTAATAATTTTAAAAAAATCAATTATTAGTTTAATAGATCTCTATGACCTTTACAATTAAAAAAAATTTTTTTTAGAAGTTTACTATAAATAAAATAAAAATGTTATCATAAGTATTCCTATATATTGTATTAATTAATACAACTTTTATTGTTATTTTTCTGATACTAAACTTACATAAATTCAATGTATTAATACATAGTTATTATTAGTATTTAAGATTTTTTTTAGTAATATAAAGTGTAATCATGTGATGGCTAGAGATTTCGCGTTTATTTTTTTGAGGTAACAGTTTAGCGGATAACTGACTCTTTAGTGAAAGTTATAAACAAATGTTTAGTTATTTTTTTTAACTTTAGTCTTAATCATAATTATTATTATTATTTTGTTGACTTAGACACTTAGATTTGATTTGCTTAATATAGTAGGGTTTAAAATATAATATATATATAAATCTAAGTATTTAAAAACAAAAATTAAAAACTAAACAATTAATAATTGTTAAATTAATAAACACTATTTTTAAAAACTAATAATTTACAAAAATTACTTTATTTAATTTAATTATTAATTATTATTATTATTATTTAAAAATTATATATATAAATATATAAAGTACTTTAGTACATGCAACTATTTTGTACTTGCAATATAGATTTTAATATATACGTTAGAGTATGTACAGTACGTTAATATGCTTACTAAGCATATTAATAAAAATATCAATTTTATCCTATGTTTTATTATTAATTTTACGTAAAACTATAATTACAATGCAAAACAATATATATATATATATATAATAATTAATAATTATACCTGGTTAGTTTGCCTACGGTATCGGATAGTCAGCAATAATAACATAATAAAAAAATTTTAGAGAAAAAAATTATATAAAAAAATAAATTACATTTTTTTTTAAAAAAAAATACAATTATTTAGAGAAATAAAATATTGTAAAATTGTAAAATACATCCAAAAACATTATATTTTACTGTATTTTACAAAAACAAAATTAATAAAAAAAACCTTGTATTTTTCTAACCCTGCTCTATACATATCATCCAATAGTATTTTATTAAGTAAAGTTTTATTAAAATATTTTAATCTTATTATTAAAAAAATAAATATATTACAGAAAAACATGTATAAATAGTTGTTTATCATTATGACTTAGAAATTATATTTAATGTATAATGAGTTCATGAAATACATGTGTATTTTTTATATTGTATGTGTGTATTATTTTTTTACAAATTATAAATCAATAGACATTTGAAACCCATTAGAAGTAATAATTTTTTTTTTAAATAATTTATTTTGTATTTTTCCAAGTTTTCTTATATTAAAAAAAACAATTAAAGATTATATTAATTTTATGAATTTTTAGCAAAAAAATAATAAATAATTATATATTTATAAACATTTTTATTTTATTCAATATTAATATTGTAAAAATATTTATAAATTTTATTATATATATATATATCAGATTTAAGAATTCAGATACAATTTTTTTTAAATATTGTTTTATATTTTTAATTATTCATCTATGTTTGAAAATATTTGTACTACAAAATTATGGGTAAATACTTATTTAATATTTTATTTTTTTTATTCAACAAATTTACTGTTAGTTTTCTAAATAATCAATTATCATATCATTAAACTACAGGATATACACCAAACATGGAATACACCCGATCCTCATCTAAGCTCATGTATGATCGAGACATGGTTTGCATGGATTCCCTGTATATTCCTATGGCTAAGCCTACCATATATTATCTATAATTGTTATAAATCATCGAACAAACCATCAATTGAATGGAACTCATATAATTCAAGTCGTCTATGTCTGGCCATTGTCAGCACAGTTGTCCTATTTGTTGAATTGATACTTAGTTTGGTTCGCAAATATCAATGGTTGGACAGTCCGAGTACGGCCTACATTGTAATGACTGCCATACAAACAGCTACCAGACTAGCCCTGTGTCTAATCTATTACAGCCATCGTCTCTATGGTGTCCATCGAAGCGGTTGTGTTTGGATATACCTATTGATCGATACATTTTTGAGTATACTATCAATTGTTACATACACTACAGCACCGGATAATAAGCTTAGATACTATGAGTTTATATTGAGATGTTTGTCATTTTCATTGACAGCATTGTTGCTAATCGTAACAACATTTGCTGACAAACTGCCGACAATAAACACTGAAATTGATGGCCAGTTAGCAGACAATAGCAACAATTGTCATCAAAACCAACGTAAAGTGCATCCAAAAGACAGGGCATCCTATCTATCAAAGATAACCTACCATTGGATTGATATGCTATTTATAAATGGTTGGCGAAAATCATTACAATTACAAGATCTCTGGCCATTGCGTTCAGTGGACAGTAGTCTAAATAATTATAAATTGTTTGCAAAACATTGGTTTATAAATAATAATAATAATAATAAAAATAAGAAGAATAATAATTATAATAATAATAATTATAATAATAATAATTATCATACTAATGTGTTCATGGTCATTTTCAAAATGTATGGCCGGAATATTATCGGTCCAATTATGTTGCTTATAGTAGCCTATATTATACCAACCTTACAGCCACTTATTATCAAGTAAGTAAAAAGGTGGGGGAGAGGGGGCAGGGGTGGGGGTAGTTTAACAAGTTGACATAAAAACATACTGTATATACAGTATACATGTTATTCAACAACAAAAAATTATTTATTGAAGTTTTATATATAATATGAAAATTGAAAACTAAACTTATTTGTTGTTTTTGTTGATAATGTAATTGTATGTAAATATCAAAGTTGCGAAAGGTTTAGAGTATAGGGGTTCAGGGGGGTATAGAGGGGTAAAATGGCCAAAATGTCGAAAAAGTTTGGTGAGTATAGGGTGGGGTAAACAATTTTACTAAATATAATATTTAATACTTTAGTTAATTAATTATTATTTTTTAAATATATGTTTTACTATACGGTATTATAAGTGTTAGCACTATATTTTTACAAACTTTTTTAAAATTTTAAAACATTTAACTAATAATTGATTTTTTGTTTTGTTTGTATGTTTTTTCTTTATATAGATTACTAATTGATTTCGTTGACGACAAATATGATTATCAATGGCACGGATATGTCTATACAGTGATGTTAGTTGTAATCAATATTATCTATTCGTTACTTAACGCCTATTCAATTGAAATAATTAATACAATGGGTATGTAATTATATACTGTTTATACAATCAAATTTTTACAAAATAGGTGGTAATGGTTTTTTTTAATAATTAGTTATAACCTAATTAGAATATATAAAAAAATCTATGTATTTTGTTGTAGTTGGTCACCAAATCAATAATTATACTCTACTTTTAATCAATAATATTATCATCAATGATATGCTAAGCTCAGGGAGGTATGATATATCAGGGTTAATAGTTGGGGATGGAGAGAGTGAGGAGTTATGGAAATTTTTTTATAGATTTTACACCCACCCCACCAGTTCCTAGTTTTGAAGATTTTTAAAAAAATTGTAAAATTAGCTTAAAAACGATGAAAATATTTAGCAACTTTTAACTTATTTTTCAAAAAAATAATACTTGTTTACATAATTGTTATATTATATTATATAATAACTTATAAATACTTACAATTAGTGAATTTTATAGTACATCCCTGAGCTAACGTACAAAAGTGTTAATAGATAATTAAACATTAATTATAAAATTATAATTATAAAGGTATAAGAGTTAAATCGTGTCTAACGTCAGCCATATATCGCAAAGCACTGGTATTAAGCAATGATAGCAAACGGCTCACACCTAATGGAGAAATTGTCAATTTGATGACAGTTGACTGTCAACGTATTATCGGTAGGCCTATCTATCTATCTATCTATCTATCTATCTATCTATCTATCTATCTATCTATCTATCTATCTATCTATCTATCTATCTATCTATCTATCTATCTATCTATCTATCTATCTATCTATCTATCTATCTATCTATCTATCTATCTATCTATCTATCTATCTATCTATCTATCTATCTATCTATCTATCTATCTATCTATCTATCTATCTATCTATCTATCTATCTATCTATCTATCTATCTATCTATCTATCTATCTATCTATCTATCTATCTATCTATCTATCTATCTATCTATCTATCTATCTATCTATCTATCTATCTATCTATCTATCTATCTATCTATCTATCTATCTATCTATCTATCTATCTATCTATCTATCTATCTATCTATCTATCTATCTATCTATCTATCTATCTATCTATCTATCTATCTATCTATCTATCTATCTATCTATCTATCTATCTATCTATCTATCTATCTATCTATCTATCTATCTATCTATCTATCTATCTATCTATCTATCTATCTATCTATCTATCTATCTATCTATCTATCTATCTATCTATCTATCTATCTATCTATCTATCTATCTATCTATCTATCTATCTATCTATCTATCTATCTATCTATCTATCTATCTATCTATCTATCTATCTATCTATCTATCTATCTATCTATCTATCTATCTATCTATCTATCTATCTATCTATCTATCTATCTATCTATCTATCTATCTATCTATCTATCTATCTATCTATCTATCTATCTATCTATCTATCTATCTATCTATCTATCTATCTATCTATCTATCTATCTATCTATCTATCTATCTATCTATCTATCTATCTATCTATCTATCTATCTATCTATCTATCTATCTATCTATCTATCTATCTATCTATCTATCTATCTATCTATCTATCTATCTATCTATCTATCTATCTATCTATCTATCTATCTATCTATCTATCTATCTATCTATCTATCTATCTATCTATCTATCTATCTATCTATCTATCTATCTATCTAATGAATCAATTTATTAATTTATGACTATTTATGTTATTTTATTCAATAAAACTATAGACTATCTTCAATTGTCGGTATTGGTATTTACATTACCCATACAGATTTGTCTGGCCATCTATCTAATCTATCAGCAATTAGGTGTGGCCGCTTTTGTAGGTCTGGCCATTTTGACTGCCATAATACCTGCAAGTTTCATACTAACCGTATTCAATGGTCTATCAAAACAAAAACAATTTGAATTCAAGGACAGTCGGCTAAATAAAATGAATGAAATACTAAATGGTATGAAAATATTGAAAGTAAGTTATTATTATATTTTTTTTGCTAAATTTAGCTAAAACTATAGTTTGGTTCTCACAATAAAAATTTATTGATTTATTTTTTTTTTTGAATAAAAAACAATTTTATTAAAAAAATATTTATCAATAAAAAATTACTATAGTTATTAATAATAATGACCATTAATAAATTGTAAACTGTATCTATATATATCAAATAAAAAATACTAAATTTATTACACTTACTTTTTTGATATTAATAGTTGTAAAATTTAATTTTTATTATCATTAAATGATTGATTTTTTTTTTAGGACCACCTAAATAATTTAATAGGGTTTTATAGTTTTTGTTTAGTAGGTGATAGGTATAGCTAGTATATAGTAAATTACTGTATATACCGGTATATATACAGTATATAACCACATATTAACTGTAAGAATCTACAATAGAAGCTATAGAGTTGTATACAACAACAATAAAAAAACAGTTAACTTCCCAATCGGGGGGGGGGGGTTCCCTGACTAGTTTACTTTTTTTTAAAAAAAATTGTCACAAATTTATAAATTATGGGCTAATACTGTACACAACTTCTTTATATAGCATATAAACTGATAATTATATATATATATATATATTTTTAAATAAAATTTTAGCAAAAATTAATTAACACTATTATCATAATCCATATTATTTATTTTTTAATTGTAATTAATTAATTAAACTAATTTTTAAATTAAACAATAATTATCAACATAGTCATTATTATTAATAGTTGATTTATTTTACGTTTTTTTTATAAAAATAAATAAATAATATATATATTATTTATAATTATTAATTTAGTTATACGCTTGGGAGATACCTTACCTGAAAATTATTAACAAAATACGTAACCGTGAACTTAAATATATGTTGACCTCCGGTCTATGGTTAGCGGTTACATTGTTAATGGGCACAGCGCTACCAATGGTGGCACAGTTGGCCACATTTGGCACCTATGCTGGTATGGAAGGGGGCGACAAAATTAATGCCCAGCGTATATTTGTATCCGTTTCATTGTTTACCATACTTAACAGCAATATTATAACTTTGCCATTTACTTTCAATTCAATTAGCTTGGTAATTATTATTATTTTCTAAAAATTTATATAATTATTTTTCTTAATTGAAAAAATTTATATAATTATTTTTCTTAATTGAAAAAATTTAATATAATTTATAAGTTCATGTTTTTTTTAAATTATTTTTTATTTAATTAAATATCCAGATTTTTGTATCACTTAAACGAATCGACAAATTTCTCAAATTACCCGAACATTACAATTATGTTAAAAACAATGATAACAAACAATTTTCAGTGACTGTAGATATGGCAACATTTTCATGGATAGGCAATGAAAATGATTTACAATTAACAACAATACCAACAACAACAACAACGAACAGCACTACAATCACCAACAACAACAACCATACATTGAGAGACATAAATCTTGACATAACTAACGGTATGTTTGTAGCAGTGGTCGGCGGTGTCGGCTCTGGAAAGAGTTCACTATTATCGGCACTGATTGGTGATATGGAACTGATAGGCGGTTCAGTTAACATATCACAGGACCAGAGTCTGGCATATGTTCCCCAACAGTCATGGATATTGAATGCAACCCTTAAAGACAACATATTGTTTAGCAAACCATACGATCCGATTAAATACAGTCAAGTTGTGAGTGCCTGTGCTCTCGAACCGGATCTTAGACAACTATCCGGCGGAGATGAGACAGAAATCGGCGAAAAGGGTATCAATTTGAGTGGCGGTCAAAAACAAAGAGTCAGTTTATGTCGGGCCGTCTATTCTGATGCCGACATCTATTTGTTTGACGATCCGTTGTCCGCAGGTTTTTGTTTTAAATATTTTGGAAATAGTTTTTATTTTAATAATAATTTATTTTTATTATTATATTAATTATATATATTAGTGGACAGTCATGTGGGCAAACATATTATGACCGAAGTACTTAGTTCGCGAACCGGTCTATTGCGTCAAAAAACCCGTATTTTGGTCACCAATCAGTTGTTTGTGTTACCCGATGTCGACCTTATTGTCGTATTGAAAGACGGTTCAGTGGCCGCTATCGGTACCTATGAACAGCTGTTGGACAACAATCAAGAGTTTATCGATTTGGTCGCACAATACTCGGTCAACAATAGACAACAACAACAGAATAATCAAGAAGAAGATGAAGATATGTTAACTGATAGTCAACATAGCACTGGTAGTATCGACATCAATAACACAACAACAACAACAACAATAGCACCTACTGTTGATACTACTGGTGACCAACCATTCAATATTACAACCATTACTAATACACAGCTTATAGATGAAGAGCACTTGGAGTCTGGAAGAATCAAGTTTGGTGTACGTAAAGCATATTAATTGATTATTTAGATATTAATAATAATAATTAAAAATTAGTTAATTAATTAATTAATAAATTAATAATTAGATTTATATTAAATACATCCGTTCAATGACTATTATACTGGCCGTCATATTTTTGATCAGTCAAATAGGAGCCAATGGCATGCAAATAGCTGTTTACAATTTGCTATCCAAATGGACATCGGATATATCGGGCGCCGACAGCAACAGTGATGCCGATACCATCCGATCGAAAACACGTTATTATCTGTCAGTGTTGGCCGCACTGATTGTTGCCTTTATTGTCTTGTTTATGGTAGCTATACTTGGTTTGGTTGCCGGCACCCGACGGGCTGCCCGACAATTGCACGGCCAGATACTTGAGCGTGTAATGCACGCACCCATGACATGGTTTGATACGACACCATTGGGTCGGATATTAAACAGATTTAGCAGAGATCTCGATGTTTTGGACGGACAGATATTTGAATATCTTCAGTACGTCTCTCTCTCTCTCTCTCTCTCTCTCTCTCTCTCTCTCTCTCTCTCTCTCTCTCTCTTTATTTCTCTTTCTGTGGCTGAGTGTCTAATATGTCAGCTATTTTGATATGTTTGTCTAAAAAATAACACACCCGGAGCTACAGCCCAGGGTTCACTTCCCTTATAAGCCACTATTATTTATTGTCAGTCATATAAAGTAATAGTTTGGGTAAAATTACATTTAAACAAAAAAAATAAAAAAAAATAGTAATTAATCTAATTATTTGCTAATTATTATATAATAAATATAACACAATTTGATAGCTATTTAGTTTTTATTAAAAAAAAACAACTATTCAAACAGTTTATAATAATAATTAATCAATACTTTAACGTTATGTGTTTTTGGGTAACATTAATCAATAGACTTACTTATTATTACCAAATGTATAAAAATTTATAAAAATATAAAATTATTTATTTATTTATAGCGAATTTTTCTATGAGTTTATAACACTAATTGGCGGACTTATCAACATTTCTGTATTGACGCCACTATTTTTGGTCCCACTTGTGGTTATTATTAGTTTGTTTGTATTATTTCAGGTAATGTTTACAATTAAACAATAAAAACAATATACAAACAAACAAACAGAAAAAACAAATAATAATTATTAAATTTTACAAAAAAAAAATAGGAATTTTACAAAAAAACATCCCGTCAATTAAAAAGGTAAAAAAATAAATAACTAATAAAATATTTTTTTTGTAGAGTATATTATATTGAAATAATTATAATTATTTATATAATATATTTTTTTCATAGATTAGAGTCAATCACTCGATCGCGAATCATATCGCACTTTGAAGAGTCGGTCAACGGTCTGTCCAGTGTTCGGGCCTATCGTTGTTCAGATAGGTTTGTACGGGAAATAGAGACCCGATTGGATGCCAACCAGATGTGTCTTTATCCCAATGCTATGGCCATCAGTTGGCTACAGACACGGTTGGCTGTGTTGAGCAATCTATTGATATTTTTTGCCGCACTATTTGCCGTACTGTCCAAAGATCGACTGACTGGCGGTTCAATAGGTGTTACCCTGTCGTTGGCCATCGGACTGATGCCGACGTTTGAGTATCTGATAAAAGTGTTTATTCTCATTGAAAACAGTATCGTTTCAGTGGAACGGGTGGATGAATATACTCGACTAGAATCTGAGGCCGACTGGCACTCGACCGCTATTGAACTGCCGACCAATTGGCCGTCAAACGGTTCGGTACGGTTTGAAGGCTATGGTACCCGATATCGTCCCGGATTGGATCTGGTGTTACGCGGTATTGATATATGCATTAAACCCAAGGAAAAGGTATAGAAACTACTATAAAGTTTAAACTTGAAATTTATTTTTCATTATTATAGCTTAGCATTTAGTTAAAGTCATAATAATTAGTTATTATTGTTAAAAACATTTTGTTATTTATTTTAAAATTTTAATATATTATTATTATATTGTATTCAATTGGTATTCATTGTGCACCCATACAAACACACAGATAGGTATTGTTGGCCGAACCGGTGCTGGAAAGTCATCGCTAACTTTGGCACTGTTTCGGATCATTGAGCCGGCAATGGGCAACATTATCATCGACGACATCGACATCAGCCGATTGGGTCTCCAAGAGTTACGGTCGCGGTTGACAATCATACCGCAGGAACCGGTACTCTATTCGGGTACTATTCGATCAAATTTGGATCCATTTGGCAATCATACCGATTCGGATTTGTGGTCAGTATTAGAACAGTCACATCTCAAACAGTTTATTCAGTCATTGGATAAACAGTTGGATTCATCTGTTGCCGAATCGGGCGATAATCTAAGTGTCGGTCAGCGACAACTTGTTTGTCTGGCCCGAGCACTGCTTCGTCATACATCTGTACTGATCCTCGACGAGGCCACGGCTGCCATCGATATCGAAACCGATGCACTTATTCAGCAAACTATTCGCCAGGAGTTCAGTTCGTGTACTGTACTGACAATTGCCCACCGAATCAATACGATTATGGACTCGGATCGGGTGCTAGTGTTCAACAATGGACGGGTAGCCGAGTTTGACGAACCCGATGTTTTACTGGCAAACAAGTCAAGCATTTTTTATACACTGGCCAGAGATGCCGGAATTATTTGATTATAATTTATTAAAATTATATTTATTTTTATATTAATTAATTAATAATGTATTATAAAATAAGTTATTATTTAATATACTTGATTAAAACATTTCCTTTTTATTATTAATAACTAACATTATTAAACTAATCTTTTATCAAAAAAAAACTTAAAAATGTAATTTATTTTATAAATCTGTTCCATACTATATATGACTAAACTTGAGTTTATTTTGTCATACTGAGTAGAGAGCGAAAAGTTTCGGACCCGTACCTGACCCGTACCTGATCTGATACCTAAAATCTCGGACTCGGACCTGACCTAATATAGGGTACAAATTTAACTGACCTGACCTGACCTGACTATGTAGGTCCGAAAATAATTTTATCAAAAAACAATTTTATTCATACTATACACACAACAAATATGTCTAAATTAACTTTAATTACTCGGGATTAACGATAACTGATCGTAGATCTAACTTAGATACTAATAAAGTTAATATGTTATTATTTATTAGATCAAACCATTATCTTTTGTAATATTTTATGTTTAATTTATACAAATATTTCATAAATAATAATTTAATAAATTTTGTGTTTGATTGTCATATTTTGTAATAATTGTCGTTTAAATAATGAATAAAAAATTTTCGGACCTGACCTGACCTGACCAAAAAATTTAGGTGTTCGGACCCGTACCTGACCTGACCTGAGCCCTAACTTTTACCTGACCTGACCTGACCTGAAAAATCAGGTCAGTTTTCAGTCTCTAATACTGAGTCGTTTGATACCCCACATGACTAAAGTTGAATACATTGTAATATTAAGTAATTTGATTGCGCAATTTATAAAATAAAATTTATATAAATATGAAACTATATAAGTTTATGCAATCAAAGTTTGTTTCTGATAATGCTTTATAGACTCATAAAAATTATTATTTAAAATAAATTGACAAAACAAAAAAAAATGTATTGTCTTAATTATTATTCTTGATTAAATGTAATATACTAATTATTATTATTTAAATATAAATTTAACTAAAATGATATTAATTAGTATTATCTATTTGAAAATAAAAATAATTTATATTTTAATACTTTCAAAATAAAATTCATAGATTGCTATAAATTTGTTAAGCAATTGATCGAAAATTGTATCGTCAGTACTGATGTCCAAATATTTTTGTTTCAATACAAGTAACTCGCGTTTGACAAACTCCTCGGACTCGGTTTTGATATTCAATTCATCGTACAATTGTTTGATCAATTGGACAGCACTGGGATCATCAAGTCCATAGTTAGCAAATAGTTGTGACTTTTGGCTATTGTTAGCCAATTGTAAGGCCCTAACGAAAAGCCAGGAACACTTGCCTTCGACAATATCTGTGCCATCGGTTAGCAAATCATCCAAATCATTGGTAACGCCCTCCAAAACGGCTAATGTGGTCAATATGTCATCAATTTTGTCCAAATGATCGTAAGATGATTGACCCGATGTATACATAGCTAATAATAATAAAAATATTAATAGCAAACATAAATAATTGAAATATATTTTTTTAATTGTTTGCAAATTAATAAAATAATATACAGGTATATATATTTGATTTATAATATAAAGGTATATATATATATGATTTATAATATACAGGTATATATATATACCTGTATATATATACAGGTATATATATACAGGTATATATATACAGTATATATGACTACTAACCCAACACAAATGAACCGATAGATATATAAGCATACTTAGATTTATTAATAAGCCTATAGTTTTCATAGTTATATGTATTAAGATCAACATCGCTGTTATGTGAACGGGTAAACTGCATGTCCAACAACTGGCCGTAGGCTGTCTTCTCAACAAACTATAGGAGGGAGTAGTAGTTATAGATAAACGATATTAATATATATATATTTTTTAATAATTATAATATTTACTAATAAATGATATACTGATATACAATACTATACTTAACCTCTTGAACGCAGTGAACAATTTCTACATAATTTTGATGATCACTAAAATATAGTTTAATAATCTTATTGATTGCCGACAATACTATTGTACTATCGTTTATGGCCGACATACCCACTGTTGGCTATCAACAACAAAAACATAGAGTTATATAACATTCAAAATAACTGTTTTAGTTTTAAATAATATAGTAATAAATGCAAAAAAATTATTATTGATTATTTCAATTACCAATGTGTACCAACACGGCTGGCCTTCGCGAGTGACCGATCGGTCCATAACGTCGTCCAACATATCAAAGTACAACATTGTCAGCTCAACAGCCCAGGCAAGTGGATAGACTCGGTCATCAAATTTATGGTCACCCGGTTTATGGCCAGTCATTACACTGTACGTCGATATAGCTATTCGGGCAAAAGCATTGACCTCCCGGTGCTCAACATTATAGTTAAACATTTTGTTTAAAGTCGATCGCAAAACATTGAACTCCAATCCTAAAGAGTTGTCCAAAACTTTATCGATTATCGGATTAAACATCTGTTGAAACTCATGTAAACCATCCGCTAATTGCTTGTCTTCAGGCATTTCTTGCTATATATATATATATATATATATATATATATATTATTTTTTTAAATATTTAGATTTATCGTTAAAATATATATTTATAAACTTTTAAATATATATATATATATAATGTATATATATAATTAAAATTGTAAATTTCTAAACTCAATTCTATTATTTTATATATATATATATATATATTTATATTTTTCTTTGTTGTCTAAACTAGCTATTTATATCTGAAAAAAATTAAGTATTATACTAATTAATTATATATATAAATTAAAGATTATTTTAATTGATTTTAGTTATAAAAAAAATTAGCAATGTCATATATTATAATTTAATTAATATACTGACTTTACTAAAATTAATTTTATAGACAAATAAAAATTTATTAATAATTGTATTGAATTTTTATTACATTAATTAGAATTAAAATATATGTTTAATTATTTGTCAATACTATTACTTTTATTATAATATTTATTAATTTAGTAATATTTTTATTAGCTATAATAGTTTATTTAAAAAAAAAATATTTAGATTTTTCTTTAATTATAAATTTATATAGTTTTTAAAATTATTATAAAAATAAAATTATAAATTTTTTTAATTAATAAAATTCTATTAGTTATCAGATATTTTTTTAAATAGCTGTATCTATCTATATATATATATATGTATATATAAGTCATATATATATAGTAAAACTAGTAATTATGTTAAATTAATTTATTGTAGAAATTTTTATTAAGAAACATTATTAAAAGTTATTAATAAAAATTAGAAATGTCATTGCAATACAATTAACATATTTTTTTTATATAATTACAACTTACTATCAATCATATAAAATTATAAGAAATTTAATATAATAATTATTATTATTAATTGTATTTAATTAGTTTTAGTTTTGTTGCATTGAAGAGAATAAAAATATTATTTCATATTTTAAAAAATAAGAGATTAAAATGATTGAATGATAATTAATTATTAATACTAATTACTGATAAATAAAATGTAAACTAATATAGACTCGACAATGACATAACAATTTTAAAAATAATTTAATAACAATAATTTATAATCTAAACGTTAATAAATAGATATATTATTATTACATAAACACATAGATTGAATAATTAATTTTTATATTTTTATTTCATTGACGTCTCTAAAGTTACGCAGTTATTAATTAGATGACAATTTATATAATTATTAAAAAAAAATAAATAAAATGCTATTTTCTAATTATAATTAACTTTAAAATATCAATATCTCATGCATTATAATTTTTTTTAAAAAAATATTTAGTGTAAGCAATAAAAGTATAGTATTTTATTTAAAATTTTTTAATAACGTTAAAATAATTTTTTTTTCTTAATAAACTTTCATTTTTTTCGTAGTATTTTCTATAAAAAAAATTTATAAATTTATTTAAATTTATTTTAAATTTCTAACTTTAAGTTAGTTATAATTTTAAGAATGATATAAATAATAATAATAAAAATAAAAACTATTTATCTAATTAAATATTAAGAATTATCATTTATTTTTTATAGATTATGAAATTTTATTTCACAACTATATATAATTTTTTGTAATAAAATAGTTATATAAATAATTTTATTAATTTAATTTTTAATGCAATGTTATAAATTAATATTAATAATAAAAATAAATTTAATTTTTTTTAATAATCTATAATCAAATAATTCCGGCATCTCTGGCCAGTGTAAAGAAAATGCTAGACTTGTTTGCCAACAAAACATCGGGTTCGTCAAACTCGGCTACCCGTCCATTGTTGAACACTAGCACCCGATCCGAGTCCATAATCGTATTGATTCGGTGGGCAATTGTCAGTACAGTACACGAACTGAACTCCTGGCGAATAGTTTGCTGAATAAGTGCATCGGTTTCGATATCGATGGCAGCCGTGGCCTCGTCGAGGATCAGTACAGATGTATGACGAAGCAGTGCTCGGGCCAGACAAACAAGTTGTCGCTGACCGACACTTAGATTATCGCCCGATTCGGCAACAGATGAATCCAACTGATTGTCCAACGACTGGACAAACTGTTTGAGATGTGACTGTTCTAATACTGACCACAAATCCGAATCGGTATGATTGCCAAATGGATCCAAATTTGATCGAATAGTACCCGAATAGAGTACCGGTTCCTGCGGTATGATTGTCAACCGCGACCGTAACTCTTGGAGACCCAATCGGCTGATGTCGATGTCGTCGATGATAATGTTGCCCATTGCCGGCTCAATGATCCGAAACAGTGCCAATGTTAGCGATGACTTTCCAGCACCGGTTCGGCCAACAATACCTATCTGTGTGTTTGTATGGGTGCACAATGAATACCAATTGAATAAAATACAATAATAAAATCTATTATTACTGTATTTTATTACTAATATAGTAACATTTTAAATAAATGTTTATTATAATAAAATGTTTTTTAATGTTTTAACTAATTATTATAACTATAACTAAATGCTGAGTTATAATAATGTAAAATAAATTATTAATATGTGATGGTCTATACATCACTTAAGCGGTTCCAGTGTCACCAAAACAATACAAAGTTACTTTGTAATATATAACTATAGTATACTGTATATATTTATGTATCTCTCTATTATAAGTTAAAATATATTTTAACAAAACATAGTTATTTAATTATAATTAATTATATTTCATATTATTTCTACTTTTGAATTTATTTATTATTACTTAATATTATGTTTATTTGTTTAAACTGGTTTATGCTTTATTATTAATATTGTAAATAAGTTTAATTTAATTATTATTATGTTTAATAGCTGTAATAAGCAATACATGTAAATCATTAACTATCTCATTATATATTATCAATAAATGAGGAGCTCAGGCTAGCAATAGCTAGTCTAGGAGGGGCTTCCAGGCTATCATAATAGTTGTACCATTTATTAAGCTTAAGAGTATTGACAATTGATTCATAAATTCTGATAACTCGGATGTATCTATTTGTCGATCCGATAATAGGCTTCCGATACTAAATACCGATATATAGCGCAGTTACCAGTGACCAGAGCCCCGAATGGGCTATTCAAATATACTGTGACGTAACAGATAACCCATACAAATATACCGTAACGCTTAAATAGTCTTCATATAGCAAGCCATTCATAAATAACGTCACAGTTCCCTATCAATCATACCCCGCATTGCTTATTGCTTCGTAAAATCTACTTTACGGGCTATTGACGGGTAAACACCAATATATGCCCGTCACAAATATACTGTAAATTTCTAGTTTAAACTAATATTAAACTAAATTAATAGTTTCTATACCTTTTCCTTGGGTTTAATGCATATATCAATACCGCGTAACACCAGATCCAATCCGGGACGATATCGGGTACCATAGCCTTCAAACCGAACCGAACCGTTTGACGGCCAATTGGCCGGCAGTTCAATAGCGGTCGAGTGCCAGTCGGCCTCGGATTCTAGTCGAGTATATTCATCCACCCGTTCCACTGAAACGATACTGTTTTCAATGAGAATAAACACTTTGATCAGATATTCAAACGTCGGCATCAGTCCGATGGCCAACGACAGGGTAACACCTATTGAACCGCCAGTCAGTCGATCTTTGGACAGTACGGCAAATAGTGCGGCAAAAAATATCAATAGATTGCTCAACACAGCCAACCGTGTCTGTAGCCAACTAATGGCCATAACATTGGGATAAAGACACATCTGGTTGTCGTCCAATCGGGACTCTATTTCCCGTACAAACCTATCTGAACAACGATAGGCCCGAACACTGGACAGACCGTTGACCGACTCTTCAAAGTGCGATATGATTTGCGATCGAGTGGTTGACTCTAATCTGTATTTAAAAATATAATTATTATAAAGATAATATATATATATATATATATATATACCGGTATATAATACTGTATATAATATACAAACTACAATAGTGTACATACTACAAAAATATAATTATAATTTTATTTTATAAATTACTTTTACTTTTATTTTAGTATTATAACTAAAAATATTTAATTAATTATTTATGTTTTTAATTACCTTTTTAATTGACGCGATGATTTTAAGTAAAATATCTTTTTTTTAAAAAATAATAATTGTTATTTGATTTGATGTTATTTTATAGATAAAGCTTACCAGAAATAATACATATAATATAACGGCAACAATAAGTGGGGCTAAAAATAGTGGCGTCAATACAGAAATGTTAATAAGTCCGGCAATTAATACCAGAATCTCATTCATAAACTCACTAAAAATAGTAATAGTAATAGTAATAGTAATAGTAATAGTAATAGTAATAGTAATAGTAATAGTAATAGTAATAGTAATAGTAATAGTAATAGTAATAGTAATAGTAATAGTAATAGTAATAGTAATAGTAATAGTAATAGTAATAGTAATAGTAATAGTAATAGTAATAGTAATAGTAATAGTAATAGTAATAGTAATAGTAATAGTAATAGTAATAGTAATAGTAATAGTAATAGTAATAGTAATAGTAATAGTAATAGTAATAGTAATAGTAATAGTAATAGTAATAGTAATAGTAATAGTAATAGTAATAGTAATAGTAATAGTAATAGTAATAGTAATAGTAATAGTAATAGTAATAGTAATAGTAATAGTAATAGTAATAGTAATAGTAATAGTAATAGTAATAGTAATAGTAATAGTAATAGTAATAGTAATAGTAATAGTAATAGTAATAGTAATAGTAATAGTAATAGTAATAGTAATAGTAATAGTAATAGTAATAGTAATAGTAATAGTAATAGTAATAGTAATAGTAATAGTAATAGTAATAGTAATAGTAATAGTAATAGTAATAGTAATAGTAATAGTAATAGTAATAGTAATAGTAATAGTAATAGTAATAGTAATAGTAATAGTAATAGTAATAGTAATAGTAATAGTAATAGTAATAGTAATAGTAATAGTAATAGTAATAGTAATAGTAATAGTAATAGTAATAGTAATAGTAACTTACTTAATATAATCACATAACTCTCCGTCCAAAACATCGAGATCTTTGCTAAATCTGTTTAATATCCGACCCAATGGTGTCGTATCAAACCATGTCATGGGTGCGTGCATTACACGCTCAAGTATCTGGCCGTGCAATTGTTGGGCAGCCCGTCGGGCGCCAGCAATCAAACTAGCAATCAAACCAGCACACCTACCATAAACAAGACAATACAGGCAACAATCAGTGCGGCTAACACTGACAGATAGTATTGTGTTTTGGATCGGTTGGTGATATCCGATGTCCATTCGGACAGCCAATTGTAGACATAAATATGACAAACATTAGCTCCTATTAAACCAATCAAAAATATGATGAATAGTATAGTAGACATTGAACGGATATATTTTATATAAACCTAATTTTAAAAAAATAAATAATTAATTTAATTAAATTAATAACAATCTTATATATGGTTTACGTACACCAAACTTGATTACTCCAGACTCCAAGTGCTCTTCATTGATAAGCTGTGTATTAGAAATGGTTGTCATATTGAATGGTTGGTCACTATTAGTATCAACAGTAGGTTCTATTGTTGATGAGTTGATGACGTCGATACTACCAGTGCTATGTCGACCATCAGTTAACATATCTGCTTCTTCTAATTCTTCATCTTCTTCGTCTTTTTGTTGTCTATTGTTGACCGAGTATTGTGCGACCAAATCGTTAAACTCACGATTGTTGTCCAACAGCTGTTCATAAGTACCGATAGCGGCCACTGAGCCGTCTTTCAATACGACAATAAGGTCGACATCGGGTAACACAAACAGCTGATTGGTGGCCAAAATACGGGTTTTTTGACGTAATAAACCGGTTTGCGAACTAAATACTTCGGTCATAATATGTTTGCCCACATGACTGTCCACTAAAATATAAATAATTATATAAAATTAATAAAATATATAATTATAGAAATAAATAATTATTAAAATAAAAATAATTTCCAAAATATTTTATAACAAAAACCTGCGGACAACGGATCGTCAAACAAATAGATGTCGGCATCAGAATAGACGGCCCGACATAAACTGACTCTTTGTTTTTGACCGCCACTCAAATTGATACCCTTTTCGCCGATTTCAGTCTCATCTCCGCCGGATAGTTGTCTAAGATCTGGTTGGAGAGCACAGGAACTCACAACTTGACTGTATTTAATCGGATCGTATGCTTTGTTAAACAGTATGTTGTCTTTGAGGGTTGCATTCAGTATCCATGACTGTTGGGGAACATAAGCCATAGTTTGTCCCTCTGCTATGTTAACTGATCCGTCTATCAGTTCCATATCACCAATCAGTGCCGATAATAATGAACTCTTTCCAGAGCCGACACCGCCGACCACTGCTACAAACATACCGTAACCGATGTCTAGATTTATATCTATCAATGTGTTGTTGTTGGTGGTGGTGGTAGTGGTAGTGATTGTAGTAATGTTTGGTATTGTTGTTGTTTGTAAATCATTTTCATTGCCTATCCATGAAAATGTTGCCATATCTACAGTCACTGAAAATTGTTTGCTATCATTGTTTTTAACATAATTGTAATGTTCGGGTAATTTGAGAAATTTGTCGATTCGTTTAAGTGATACATATATCTATGATTTAATTAAATAAATAAAAACAAATTTTTTCATTATGAAAATAATAATAATATAAATTATAACAAAAAATATAATAATTACCAAGCTAATTGAATTGAAAGCAAATGGAAATGTTACAATACTATTGTTAACTAACGTAAACAACGAAACTGATACAAATATACGTTGGGCATTAATTTTGTCCTCCCCTTCAATAGCTATAAACGTGCCGAAAGTGGCCAACTGTGCAATCATTGGCACTGTAAAGGTTAGTATCAGTGTAACCATAAACCATAGGCCGGCGCAAAACATGTGTCTTAGTTCACGGTTACGTATTTTGTTAACCATTTTAATGTACGGTATTTCCCAAGCGTATAACTAAATTAATATTATGTATTATTTATTTTTTTTAATAAAATAACGTAAAATAAATTTAATATTTTTATAAATCAATTATTAATAATAAAAATGTTGATTGCCTTGATAATTATTGTTTAATTTAAATATTAGTTAAAAATTAATTAATTAGAATTAAAATAAATAATATGGATTATGATAACTGTGTTAATTAATTTAATAATTTTCAATTTATTTATAAATTTATGTAATTTATACTAATTATACAGATAAATAGTAAATATAATAATAACCTTACTTTTAAAATTTTAATACCATTTAGTATTTCGTTCATTATATTTAGCCGATTGTCTTTGAATTCAAACTGTTTTTGTTTGGATAGACCATTGAATACGGTTAGTATGAAACTTGTAGGTATAACGGCAATCAAAATGGCCAGACCTACAAATGCGGCCACACCTAATTGCTGATAGATTAGATAGACGGCCAAACAAATCTGTACGGGTGTTGTAAATAGCAATGGAGAGTATTGAAGATTGTCTATTGTTGTATATTATTTTTTGTGTCAATTAAATAAAAATCCAATAAATTATTATTGTGTTTTATAATAAATAAAAATATACAGTTTGTAGATAAATAAATAAATATATATATATAAGCTTTATAATTTTCTTTTGACCCCCTCCCCACCCTTGATTTTAGATTTTTTTGTTGTTGAAAAAATTGCCGTTTAAAAATGCAATACACCCAAAAAGTCTACACCCCACCCTAGACCAACCCCCCGACGATTTTTAGAGAATTTTGTAATATGACCTCACCCTAGATAGACGGGGGGTCTAAAACCAAAATCAAAAACCTTGCTTAACCCTGATATAAATATATTGTAGCGGAATAATAATAGATCACTTAAAACAATAGTAAATGTACTCAAATTATAAGTTTAATTACTTATATAACTTCTCATATGTTTTAACTACAGTAATGTTTTAGTGTATTAAATACATAGTTAATATGAGATATGTATTCCCATAGAAATAACATTAACGGGTTATTTAGTATTATAAAGTATGTGTTTACTATACCCATAGGAATTGCATTAGCGGCACATTCACTATTATAAATATGGGTTTAACATTGCCATAGAAATAACATTAGCTATACTTTAACATACAAACATATAGGTTTAGTTTGTGACACATATAGTGTCAGTAAATGCAGTGACGCACTTGCGTTTCAGTGAATACTATTTAACCATTGGTTTAAATATTTTATATACAGGGGTTAACAAGGGTTTTTGTTTCCTATACTTTAACATTAATGAATTAATTAATTTCTATGCACACTTGTGTATTGTATTTTAATGCAAATGAGAATTTGCCTTTAGGTGGTAGTGTGCGACTGATCAAAAATAGGCAGAGTTTAAATTAACCAATAAGAGCAAAGTAGTAGTGAATGTAAAAGTTGTCATCAAATATGAATACAGAGTTTAGCAGTTTGCGCGCGCAATAGGCAGTGGCTTATGCAGCGATCAGACTGCTGAGCTCTCAGTCGAGTGAAATGCTCGACACAAGTTGTCTGATACTCAAACTGGTCGGTTGCCGTCACTTTACTCCGCAATACACTGTAGTGTATTATTATACATTGTATTAGTTTTATTTTATGTGTTAACAATAAACTCGGTTTTGGTTATAAGTCCCGAGTAAGTCATTTGGGCCTTTGGCCCGCGCTTTCTCTCTTCTCTCTATCTCTCTTGCTTTCTCTCTTCACTTCATCTACGAGCTCCCTTGCCGTGTCAGTCGCGTGTTCCCTTTTCCCGTGTCCATCACCACCACCACTACTCAACACATTGGCCGATACAGCACCGCTCAACACTTGAGCCGAGACAGCACCGCTCAGCTCATTGGCTCATCACAACCGTCACAGCTCACCGCCAGATCCATACCGTGGTCGCTGATGTCCTCAACTACATAGGTGTTGGTGCCGACTCATCTCTAAGACCGACACACTTTGGTGCCGATAAAGTCGAGTCATCACCGGACACCTTAAGCAACCAATCCAACCGTTTCAATATATATTTATATATATGTGTGTGTAAATTGCTATCCCTACCGATAATACGTTGACAGTCAACTGTCATCAAATTGACAATTTCTCCATTAGGTGTGAGCCGTTTGCTATCATTGCTTAATACCAGTGCTTTGCGATATATGGCTGACGTTAGACACGATTTAACTCTTATACCTTTATAATGATAATTAAAATTAATAAAAATAACATTTATTTTTTTATAATTATATTTAGTTTTTTGTTGTTGATATTGTTGATGACTACTGGTGCATATACAGTATATAATTACATACCCATTGTAGTTAGTATTTCATTGGAATAGGCCTTAAATAACGTGTAGATAATATTGATTACAAGTAGTAGTATTGTATAGACATATCCGTGCCATTGATGATCATATTTGTCGTCAACGAAATCAATTAGTAATCTATAACCAAAAAAATAGCAATAAATAATAATTATTAGTTAATGTATATTAAATAATACTTTTATAAAACTATGTAATTTCATGTATTTTATATTAAGAATATAGTGTTAGATATTTTAAGTACAGTATGTTTTTCACATACACCCTCACCCACCGCCTCCCCATCCCCCCTTTACTTACTTGATAATAAGTGGCTGTAAAGTTTGTATAATATAGGCGACTATAAGCAATACAATTGGACAGATAATATCCAGAGCATATATTTTGAAAATGACCATGAACACATTAGTATTATGATAATGAGGATTATTATTATCATTTTTATTATTATTATTTATAAACCAATGTTTTGCAAACAATTTGTAATTATTTAGACTACTGTCCACTGAACGTAATGGCCAGAGATCTTGTAATTGTAATGATTTTCGCCAACCATTTATAAATAGCATATCAATCCAATGGTAGGTTATCTTTGATAGATAGGATGCCCTGTCTTTTGGATGCACTTTACGTTGGTTTTGATGACAATTGTTGCTATTGTCTGCTAACTGGCCATCAATTTCAGTGTTTATTGTCGGCAGTTTGTCAGCAAATGTTGTTACGATTAGCAACAATGCTGTCAATGAAAATGACAAACATCTCAATATAAACTCATAGTATCTAAGCTTATTATCCGGTGCTGTAGTGTATGTAACAATTGATAGTATACTCAAAAATGTATCGATCAATAGGTATATCCAAACACAACCGCTTCGATGGACACCATAGAGACGATGGCTGTAATAGATTAGACACAGGGCTAGTCTGGTAGCTGTTTGTATGGCAGTCATTACAATGTAGGCCGTACTCGGACTGTCCAACCATTGATATTTGCGAACCAAACTAAGTATCAATTCAACAAATAGGACAACTGTGCTGACAATGGCCAGACATAGACGACTTGAATTATATGAGTTCCATTCAATTGATGGTTTGTTCGATGATTTATAACAATTATAGATAATATATGGTAGGCTTAGCCATAGGAATATACAGGGAATCCATGCAAACCATGTCTCGATCATACATGAGCTTAGATGAGGATCGGGTGTATACCATGTTTGGTGTATATCCTGTAGTTTAATGATATGATAATTGATTATTTAGAAAACTAACAATAAATTTGTTGAATAAAAAAATAAAATATTAAATTAGTATTTACCCATAATTTTGTAGTACAAATATTTTCAAACATAGATAAATAATTAATTAATAAATTAATAAATAAATTAATTTATTAAAAATTATTTTTAAAAAATTGTATCTGAATTCTTAAATTTGATATATATATCTGATATATATAGATATGATATATAATGTTTAATATAATAAAATTAATAAATATTATTACAATATTAATATTGAATAAAATAAAACGTTTATAAATACATATTTATTTATCTTTACTAAATATTCAAATTCATAAAATTAATATAATTTTTACTTGAATTTTTAATGAAAACAAAACTGGAAAAAATAATACATACATACAATATAAAATACACATGTATTTCATGAACTCATTATAAAAAATAAAATTTTTAAGTCATAATGATAAACATTTATTTATACATGATTTTTCTGTAATATATATATTTTTAATAAGATTGAGATATTTTAATGAAACTTTACTTAATTAAATACTAATGGAGGATATGTACATATATATATAGCAGGGTTGGAAAAATACAAGTTTTTTTTTATTAATTTTGTCTAAAATACAGTAAAATACAATGTGTTTGGATGTATTATACAATTTTAGAAAAATTACACAATGATAGAATATTTAAATTTTTTTAATTAAAAGTATTATTATTACATAATTTCAATATCGTTATTAGAATTACGTTATTTTCTAAATCTATTAAAAATTAATATTAATTGACTGTATATTTGAATAATTTCAATACCAGATTTAAATTTGGATAGCTAATTTCAAATTTTATTAAAAATTAAAAACAAAAATAATTATTACAAAACATTGTTTGTGAATCTTATTTTTTTGTTACTAGGTGGCGTTAATTTTTTTTGTATGCCAAAATTGTCATGTATAATACAAAGAGTATTATACTGTATAATACGGTTTGTATTATACATACACTTTGTCTCTGCCAACACTGATAAATAAGTAAGATTGACATTCATTTATTTGTAAAATTTTATTTTCTGTGTATAATTAATTTTTAAAAAAAAATTAAAACAAAAAATAAATAAAATTTTTACACAGATAGTATTTCTGTATATTTGTTTGAAAAATGTTAATGTTTTTTTAACTATAATATATATAATTTTATTTTCAAAAAAAACTTGAAAAGTTTTGTTTTCTGAAATCTATACGAGCCTTTTTGACTCTGTGTGTCTGTCTGTCTGTCTGTAGCATTTCATTTTGCGAATTTTGAAATTCTGACTTCAGATTCGGTTAGAGGACTACTAATAATGTATTGAAAAGTTGCATCAAAATTTTGATACCTCTTCGGGAACATAGACAAAATGGCGGCCAAAGTAAAAAAATTAAGAAAATTTTTTTAAGTATAGATTTGATTAAAGCATCAAAACAAGTGAAACATATATGCATTAAAATTTTTATATCTCTTCGGAAACAGAAAAAATGGCGGCCAAAGTAAATAAGATTAGTTAAAAATTTATATTAACATTTAGTTTGCGTTAAGATTATTCTTGCGTCATCATTTAATATTGCGTCAACATTTAATATTGCGTCACTATTTAATATTGCGTCACTATTTAATATTGCGTCACTTTAATATTGCGTCATAATTTAATTTTCCGCTAACAGTAATCTTAGGATCATTATATAATATTGCGTCATTATTTAATATTGCATCACTATTTAATATTGCGTCATAATTTAATTTTCAAACTTCTTATCGGTTTCAACACAATTATCAATATTTAAAACCTAAGTATTATTTCACTAATGTTGGACAAGAATTACACCATATTGTTAACACTGGTAATCATTGGATTTACATCAATGTTCAATATACATCATCAACAACAATTACATGTAATGTTTATGATTCTGTTAACGCATTAACAGTTAGCCAATTAATTGTACGCGTCGCAAGTGCCCATATAAGACAACTCGACATAACACCTCAATTAAAATATCAATTTTGGCGAGTAACAAAACAGCCAAATACTAATGATTGTGGTGTTTATGCTTTAATGAATATGGCATTAAATATTTCTGGTATTAATCCAAGTTCAATTAGACTAACTGAAAATAGTTTCAATTTGCGTCAAAGATTACAAAGATGGTATGAATCTGGTTAAATTTCATTGCCAATTACACGAAGTACCGAAGCAAAATCCAAATACATAACAATACCAACTCTACATTGTTTGTGTTCGAAAAAATTTAATAATAATATGATTCGCTGTACACAATGTGGTGAAAGATTTCATCAAAATTGTCAATCAGATAATAACACAACACAAAGCAATTTTGTTTGCACAAAATGTGTTGAACCAAATCAAGATATTTACGATGTATTGTAAACCATATATCTATATATAACATTTATTATATCCTTATTTTAAATATTACTTTTGTATTTAATATTTGTTGTTTAAAATAAAATTAAAATTTTATATAAATGTGATCTTTATTTTTTATAAATGACAATTAATTTGCGAACATTATATTTTATGCCGTCAAGTTTTTTCTGATAATGCTTTCTAGCATTCTTAACTGGTTTAATTTATAATTTATTTTTTGTATGTTTTATTTATTTCTATTTATTTTTTTACTATATTATTACTATTATTGCTGACTATCATAATACCATAGGCAAACTAAGCAGGTATAATTATTATTATTATATATATATTATTGTTATATAAAGCATTGTAATTATAGTTTTACTTAATAATAATAATAAAAAATAAGAAAAATTTTATATTTTTATTAATAGGCTTAGTAAGTATATTAACGCACATACTAACGTACATACACTAAAGTATATAATAAAATACTTATTGCAAATACAAAATAGTACTTTATATATATAGTTTTTAAATAATAATAAAAATAATAAATAATTAAATAAAATAAAATAATTTTTGTAAATTATTAGTTTTTAAAAAATAGTGTGTATTAATTTAACAATTATTAATTATTAGTTTTAATTTTTTTTTGATTTTAATTTCTTAGATTTATATATATATATATATATATATATATATATATATATATTTAAACCCTACTATATTAAGCAAATCAAACGGCACGTCTAAGTCACCCAAAAAAAATTGTATTATTGATACTAAAAAAAATAAAAAGTTAAAAAATAACTATACGTTTGTTTATAACTTTCACTAAAGATTCAGTTATCCGCTAAACTGTTACCCAAAACAAACAAACAAAACACAAAATCTCTTGCCATCACATGATTTACACTTTATATTACTACTAAAAAAATCTTAAATAAAAGGGGTTTTCATTAATCTCCGGCACGCGGTTTTTGCTATAATTCTTAAACGGAGTGAGATATATTAATTTTGTAAAAAGTGTATTAAAAAGTGATTTACGCGTGATAATATAAAATTAAAAATTTTTAATTTTGATCATGTGATCATATTTATTCTTGGATGTTTGCAAACCACTATGTCAGAATCTAACCTATAAATGTTAGAATAAATTTTCAATAGCATATTTGTAAAGCTTAAATTGAAAATTTATGGGAAGAAAAATTTTTTGAAATTGATCGGAAAATTTTGTTATTAGAATAAGTAATAGTATTAAAATCTTTATCTAATAAGTGTCTACTGTCCATAAATAACGTCATATTATTTTTTACTTTTTCTTATAATGTGTTTTTCCACATGTTTGAATGTTTGAAATTTCAAAAAAAATTCTTCACATAAATTTTCAATTTAAGCTTTACAAATATGCTATTGAAAATTTATTCTAACATTTATAGGTTAGATTCTGACATAGTGGTTTGCAAACATCCAAGAATAAATATGATCACATGATCAAAATTAAAAATTTTTAACTTTATATTATCACGCGTAAATCACTTTTTAATACACTTTTTACAAAATTAATATATCTCACTCCGTTTAAGAATTATAGCAAAAACCGCGTGCCGGAGATTAATGAAAACCCCTTTTACTAATAATAACTATGTATTTATACATTGAATTTATGTCTCTATTGTCACAACAACCAAAAAAACAATAAAACTTGTATTAATTAATACAATATAAAAGTATACTTATGTTAACATTTTTATTTAATTTATACTAAACCTCTAAAAAATTTTTTTAATTGTAAAGATCTTAGAGATCTAATAAACTAATAATTGATTTTTTATAAAAAAAAATTATTAGTTGCTCCTTACCATAGATGCAGAGCATTTGACACACATTGGCAGATAAAATTTTTGCATTCAATGCTATAAAAGCATTACCAGAAACAAACTTTGATTGCATAAACTTATATGGTCTCATATTAATATAAATTTTATTTTATAATACAGTATTAAGTTATTAATATAGAAATAAATATAATTTTAATAAATTATAATTTAAATAATTCCGGCATCTCTGGCCAGTGTATAGAAAATGGTTGACTTGTTGGCCAACAAAACGTCGGGTTCGTCAAACTCGGCTACCCGTCCATTGTTGAACACTAGCACCCGATCCGAGTCCATAATCGTATTGATTCGGTGGGCAATTGTCAGTACAGTACACGAACTGAATTCCTGGCGAATAGTTTGCTGAATAAGTGCATCGGTTTCGATATCGATGGCAGCCGTGGCCTCGTCGAGGATCAGTACAGATGTATGACGAAGCAGTGCTCGGGCCAGACAAACAAGTTGTCGCTGACCGACACTTAGATTATCGCCCGATTCGGCAACCGGTGAATCCAATTGATTGTCCAACGACTGGACAAACTGTTTGAGATGTGACTGTTCTAATACTGACCACAAATCCGAATCGGTATGAATGCCAAAGGGATCCAAATTTGACCGAATAGTACCCGAATAGAGTATCGGTTCCTGCGGTATGATTGTCAACCGCGACCGTAACTCTTGGAGACCCAATCGGCTGATGTCGATGTCGTCGATGATAATGTTGCCCATTGCCGGCTCAATGATCCGGAACAGTGCCAATGTTAGCGATGACTTTCCAGCACCGGTTCGGCCAACAATACCTATCTGTGTGTTTGTATGGGCGCACAGAAAAACCAATGAATAATAATAATAATAAAATAGTAGACAAATTTTTTTACTTTTTTTTAGTTTATATACCTTTTCCTTGGGTTTAATGCATATATCAATACCGCGTAACACCAGATCCAATCCGGGACGATATCGGGTACCATAGCCTTCAAACCTTACCGAACCGTTTGACGGCCAATTGGCCGGCAGGTCAATAGCGGTCGAGTGCCAGTCGGCCTCAGATTCTAGTCGTGTATATTCATCCACCCGTTCCACTGAAACGATACTGTTTTCAACCAAAATAAACGCTTTGATCAAACTGTCTAACGACGGTATCATTCCGATGGCCAACGACAGGCTTAGACCTATTGAACCGCCAGTCAGTCGATCTTTGGCCAGTACGGCAAATAGTGCGGCAAAAAATATCAATAGATTACCTAACACTGCCAGCCGTATCTGTAGCCAACTGATGGCTAAAACATTGGGATACAGACACATCTGGTTGGCGTCCAATCGGGACTCTATTTCCCGTACAAACCTATCTGAACAACGATAGGCTCGAACACTGGACAGACCGTTGACCGACTCTTCAAAGTGCGATATGATTTGCGATCGAGTGATTGACTCTAATCTGTATTTAAAAATATAATTATTATAAATATAATATGAACTATATATAATATACATACTACAAAAAATATAATTATTATTTTATTTTATAAATTACTTTTACTTTTAGTATTATACTGGGAATAGGGTATTATACAGTATACAAAAATAATTAAAAATATTTAATTAATTATTTATTTTTTTAATTACCTTTTTAATTGGCGCGATGATTTTAAATAAAATACCTTTAAAAAAATAATTTTTATTGTTATTTGATGTGATTTTTGTTTTTTTTAAGATAAAGCATACCTGAAATAATACATATAATATAACAGCAACAATAAGTGGGGCTAAAAATAGTGGCGTCAATACAGATATATTAATAAGTCCGGCAATTATTATTAGAAACTCATTCATAAACTCACTAAATAATAATAATAGTAATAATAATTAGTAATAGTAATAGTAATAGTAATAGTAATAGTAATAGTAATAGTAATAGTAATAGTAATAGTAATAGTAATAGTAATAGTAATAGTAATAGTAATAGTAATAGTAATAGTAATAGTAATAGTAATAGTAATAGTAATAGTAATAGTAATAGTAATAGTAATAGTAATAGTAATAGTAATAGTAATAGTAATAGTAATAGTAATAGTAATAGTAATAGTAATAGTAATAGTAATAGTAATAGTAATAGTAATAGTAATAGTAATAGTAATAGTAATAGTAATAGTAATAGTAATAGTAATAGTAATAGTAATAGTAATAGTAATAGTAATAGTAATAGTAATAGTAATAGTAATAGTAATAGTAATAGTAATAGTAATAGTAATAGTAATAGTAATAGTAATAGTAATAGTAATAGTAATAGTAATAGTAATAGTAATAGTAATAGTAATAGTAATAGTAATAGTAATAGTAATAGTAATAGTAATAGTAATAGTAATAGTAATAGTAATAGTAATAGTAATAGTAATAGTAATAGTAATAGTAATAGTAATAGTAATAGTAATAGTAATAGTAATAGTAATAGTAATAGTAATAGTAATAGTAATAGTAATAGTAATAGTAATAGTAATAGTAATAGTAATAGTAATAGTAATAGTAATAGTAATAGTAATAGTAATAGTAATAGTAATAGTAATAGTAATAGTAATAGTAATAGTAATAGTAATAGTAATAGTAATAGTAATAGTAATAGTAATAGTAATAGTAATAGTAATAGTAATAGTAATAGTAATAGTAATAGTAATAGTAATAGTAATAGTAATAGTAATAGTAATAGTAATAGTAATAGTAATAGTAATAGTAATAGTAATAGTAATAGTAATAGTAATAGTAATAGTAATAGTAATAGTAATAGTAATAGTAATAGTAATAGTAATAGTAATAGTAATAGTAATAGTAATAGTAATAGTAATAGTAATAGTAATAGTAACTTACTTAATATAATCACATAACTCTCCGTCCAAAACATCGAGATCTCTGCTAAATCTGTTTAATATCCGACCCAATGGTGTCGTATCAAACCATGTCATGGGTGCGTGCATTACACGCTCAAGTATCTGGCCGTGCAATTGTCGGGCAGCCCGTCGGGTGCCGGCAATCAAACTAAGCACACCTACCATAAACAAGACAATACAGGCAACAATCAGTGCGGCTAACACTGACAGATAGTATTGTGTTTTGGATCGGTTGGTGATATCCGATGTCCATTCGGACAGCCAATTGTAGACATAAATATGACAAACATTAGCTCCTATTAAACCAATCAAAAATATGATGAATAGTATAGTAGACATTGAACGGATATATTTTATATAAACCTAATTTTAAAAAAATAAATAATTATTTTAATTAAATTAATAACAATCTTATATCGTTTACGTACACCAAACTTGATTACTCCAGACTCCAAGTGCTCTTCATTGATAAGCTGTGTATTAGAAATGGTTGTCATATTGAATGGTTGGTCACTATTAGTATCAACAGTAGGTTCTATTGTTGATGAGTTGGTGACGTCGATACTACCAGTGCTATGTCGACCATCAGTTAACATATCTGCTTCTTCTAATTCTTCATCTTCTTCGTCTTTTTGTTGTCTATTGTTGACCGAGTATTGTGCGACCAAATCGTTAAACTCACGATTGTTGTCCAACAGCTGTTCATAAGTACCGATAGCGGCCACTGAGCCGTCTTTCAATACGACAATAAGGTCGACATCGGGTAACACAAACAGCTGATTGGTGGCCAAAATACGGGTTTTTTGACGTAATAAACCGGTTTGCGAACTAAATACTTCGGTCATAATATGTTTGCCCACATGACTGTCCACTAAATATAAATAATTAATATAATAATAAAAATAAATTATTATTAAAATAAAAACTATTTCCAAAATATTTATATAACAAAAACCTGCGGACAACGGATCGTCAAACAAATAGATGTCGGCATCAGAATAGACGGCCCGACATAAACTGACTCTTTGTTTTTGACCGCCACTCAAATTGATACCCTTTTCGCCGATTTCAGTCTCATCTCCGCCGGATAGTTGTCTAAGATCTGGTTGGAGAGCACAGGAACTCACAACTTGACTGTATTTAATCGGATCGTATGCTTTGTTAAACAGTATGTTGTCTTTAAGGGTTGCATTCAATATCCATGACTGTTGGGGAACATATGCCAGACTCTGGTCCTGTGATATGTTAACTGAACCGCCTATCAGTTCCATATCACCAATCAGTGCCGATAATAGTGAACTCTTTCCAGAGCCGACACCGCCGACCACTGCTACAAACATACCGTTAGTTATGTCAAGATTTATGTCTCTCAATGTATGGTTGTTGTTGTTGGTGATGGTTGTAGTGGTGGTTGTTATTGTTTTTGTTGGTATTGTTGTTGTTTGTAAATCATTTTCATTACCCATCCATGAAAATGTTGCCATATCTACAGTCACTGAAAATTGTTTGTTATCATTGTTTTTAACATAATTGTAATGTTCGGGTAATTTGAGAAATTTGTCGATTCGTTTAAGTGATACATAAATCTGTAGATTTAATTAAATAAATAAAAAAAAACATAAACTTTTAATTATATAAAAAAAATTTTCATTATGATAATAATAATATAAATATAAATAATAATAATTACCAAGCTAATTGAATTGAAAGCAAATGGAAATGTTATAACACTACTGTTAACTAAGGTAAACAACGAAACCGATACAAATATACGTTGGGCATTAATTTTGTCCTCCCCTTCAATAGCTATAAACGTGCCGAAAGTGGCCAACTGTGCAATCATTGGCACTGTAAAGGTTAGCGTCAGTGTAACCATAAACCATAGGCCGGCGCAAAACATGTGTCTTAGTTCACGGTTACGTATTTTGTTAACCATTTTAATGTACGGTATTTCCCAAGCGTATAACTAAATTAATATTATGTATTATTTTTTTTTTTTTTTTAATAAAATAACGTAAAATAAATTTAATATTTTTATAAATCAATTATTAATAATAAAAATGTTGATTGCCTTGATAATTATTGTTTAATTTAAATATTAGTTAAAAATTAATTAATTAGAATTAAAATAAATAATATGGATTATGATAACAGTGTTAATTAATTTAATAATTTTCAATTTATTTATATTATAATATAAGTAGAAATTTATGTAATTTATACTAATTATAGAGATAAATAGTAAATATAATAATAACCTTACTTTTAAAATTTTAATACCATTAAGTATTTCGTTCATTATATTTAGCCGATTGTCTTTGAATTCAAATTGTTTTTGTTTGGACAGACCATTGAATACGGTTAGTACTAAACTGATTGGTATAACGGCAATCAAAATGGCCAGACCTACAAATGCGGCCACACCTAATTGCTGATAGATTAGATAGACGGCCAAACAAATCTGTACGGGTGTTGTAAATAGCAATGGAGAGTATTGAAGATTGTCTATTGTTGTATATTATTTTTTATGTCAATTAAATAAAAATCCAATAAATTATTATTGTGTTTTATAATAAATAAAAATATACAGTTTGTAGATAAATATATATATATATATACTGTATATATATAAGCTTTCTTATTTTCTCTTGACCCCCCTCCCACCCTTGATTTTGGATTTTTTGTTGTTGTTGAAAAAAATGCCGTTTAAAAATGCAATACACCCAAAAAGTCTATACCCCACCCTAGACCAACCCCCGACGATTTTTAGAGAATTTTGTAATATGACCTCACCCTAGATAGACGGGGGGGGGGGGGGTCTAAAACCAAAATATAAAACCTTGCTTAACCCTGATATATATATATATATATATATATTTATATATATGTGTGTGTAAATTGCTATCCCTACCTATAATACGTTGACAGTCAACTGTCATCAAATTGACAATTTCTCCATTAGGTGTGAGCCGTTTGCTATCATTGCTTAATACCAGTGCTTTGCGATATATGGCTGACGTTAGACACGATTTAACTCTTATACCTTTATAATGATAATTAAAATTAATAAAAATAACATTTATTTTTTTATAATTATATTTATTTTTTTTTGTTGTTGATATTGTTGATGACTACTGGTGCATATAAAGTATATAATTACATACCCATTGTAGTTAGTATTTCATTGGAATAGGACTTAAATAACGAGTAGATAATATTGATTACAACTAACATCACTGTATAGACATATCCGTGCCATTGATGATCATATTTGTCGTCAACGAAATCAATTAGTAATCTATAACCAAAAAAAAAAAATAACAATAAAAATAACAATAAATAACAGTTAATGTATATTAAATAATACATTATAAAACTGTGTATTATCATTTATTATATATTACAATTAGGGTAAGATTGAGATTCCCAGGGAGAGATGTTCCCAAATAAAATCCCTCCAATTTTCCCGGAAAATATATTATATTCCCTCCCTTGATCGTTAGAAAGGGAAAATATAATTTGTCATACATTAAAAAGTGCCTAATCTCAATGTCTATGTGTTTCAATTTGGACCAGTATGTTAGTAATAACTCAATCAAAATGTGATTCAAATAATATTAAACATTTAGTAAAAACATTAAATACATTTTGTAGACATTTACTATACAAACGTGTTTTTAATAAAACATATGTAATGTGAGTTAGAGTACGATAGGTGGTACCACAAGGAAATGTCTTCCCAGGGAATTCCCAGAGAACAGGGAATATAAGGAACTTATGGAAAATAAGACGAACGAGGGAATCTAATCTAACCCTAATTACAATATAATGTAAAGAGTATTGAATATAAGTACAATATGTTTATCAAATACACCTTCATCCTCGCTCCCCACCCCCCTTTACCTACTTGATAATAAGTGGCTGTAAAGTTTGTATAATATAGGCGACTATAAGCAATACAATTGGACCGATAATATCCAGAGCATACATTTTGAAAATGACCATGAACACATTAGTATTATGATTATGAGGATTATTATTATTATTATCATTATTATTTTTATTTTTTTTATTATTATTTTTATTATAATTATTTATAAACCAATGTTTTGCAAACAATTTATAATTATTTAGACTACTGTCCACTGAACGCAATGGCCAGAGATCTTGTAATTGTAATGATTTTCGCCAACCATTTATAAATAGCATATCAATCCAATGGTAGGTTATCTTTGATAGATAGGATGCCCTGTCTTTTGGATGCACTTTACGTTGGTTTTGATGACAATTGTTGCTATTGTCTGCTAACTGGCCATCAATCTCAGTGTTTATTGTCGGCAGTTTGTCAGCAAATGTTGTTACGATTAGCAACAATGCTGTCAATGAAAATGACAAACATCTCAATATAAACTCATAGTATTTAAGCTTATTATCCGGTGCTGTAGTGTATGTAACAATAGATAGTATACTCAAAAATGTATCGATCAATAGGTATATCCAAACACAACCGCTTCGATGGACACCATAGAGACGATGGCTGTAATAGATTAGACACAGGGCTAGTCTGGTAGCTGTTTGTATGGCAGTCATTACAATGTAGGCCGTACTCGGACTGTCCAACCATTGATATTTGCGAACCAAACTGAGTATCAATTCAACAAATAGGACAACTGTGCTGACAATGGCCAGACATAGACGACATGTATTATATGAGTTCCATTCAATCGATGGTTTGTTTGATGATTTATAACAATTATAGATAATATATGGTAGGCTTAGCCATAGGAATATACAGGGAATCCATGCAAACCATGTCTCGATCATACATGAGCTTAGATGAGGATCGGGTGTATTCCATGTTTGGTGTATATCCTGTAGTTTAATGATATGATAATTGATTATTTAGAAAAATACCATTAAATTTGTTGAATAAAAAAATAAAATATTAAATTAGTATTTACCCATAATTTTGTTGTACAAATATTTTCAAACATAGATGAATAATTAATTAATTAATTAAAAAGTATTTAAAAAACCTAAATATAAAAAATTGTATCTAAATTCCTAAATCTGATATATATATATACAATATATATATATATATATATATATATATATATATATATATATATATATATATATATATATATATATATATTGATATGATATATATAAATTGTTTAATATAATAAAATTAATAAATATTACAATATTAATATTGAATAAAATAAATACGTTTATAATATATATATATTTATTTTTTTAATATTCAAATTCATAAAATTAATATAATATTTACTTTGATTTTTAATGAAAACATAACTGGAAAAAATATATAAAAAAATATAAAAAATTATCACATATAGTATGCATCACATGAATATCAAATGTCTATTGATTTATAATTTGTAAAAAAATAATATACACACACAATATAAAATACACATGTAATAATGATAAACAACTATTTATACATTTTTTTTGTAATATATTATTTTAATAAGATTGAGATATTTTAATGAAACTTTACTTAATAAAATACTAATGGATGATATGTATATATATAGCAGGGTTGGAAAAATACAAGTTTTTTTTTAATTTTGTTTTTGTAAAATACAGTAAAATACAATGTGTTCGGATGTATTTTACAATTTTAAAAAATTACATAAACAATGATAAAATTATTATTTTTTTTAATTAAAATTATTATTATTATATAATTTCAATATCGTTATTAGAATTACGTTATTTTCTAAAACTATTAAAAATTAATATTAATTGAATGTATATTTGCATAATTTCAATACCAGATATAAATTTCAATAGCTAATTTCAAATTTTTATAAAATTAAAAAAAAATAATTATTACAAAACATAATTTTGTTTGTGAATCTTAGTATTTTTGTCACTAGGTGGCTCTATTTTTTTTGTAAGCCAAAATTGTCATGTAATTTATATTGTATTATACTGTATAATACGCTTTTGTATTATACATACACTTTGTCTCTGCCGCCACTGATTTTAAATTTTATTTTCTTTATATAAATAATTAAATTTTATTTCAAACATAACTAAATAAAATTTTACTTCAGATAATATTTATATGTATTTGTTTGTAACTTTTAATGTTTTATTTCTCTATATAATTGCATTTTTAAAAAAAAATTGTAATTTATTTTTTTATGTATTTTTTCTAAAATTTTTTTACTATGTTATTATTGCTGACTATTTAGACAACATAGGCAAACTAACAAGGTATAATTTTTAATTATATATATATTAATATATTGTTTTACGTAAAATTAATAATTTTCATGTAATTTACATTGAATTATATTGTATATTACGCTTTTTATTATAAATACAGTTTGTCTCTGCCAACACTGCTATTGAGGCACTATATTTATTTGTATAATTTTATTTTGTTTGTATAATTAATTTTATAAAGAAATTTCAAACAAAAAAAATAAATAAAATTTTTACTTCAGATAATATTTCTATGTATTTGTTTGAAATTTTTAATGTTTTTTATCTATATATAATTGTATTTTTTTTTTTAAAAAATTGTAATTTATTTTTATGTGTGTTTTATTTAATTATATTTATTTTTTACTATATTTGCTGACTATCTAATACCATAGGCATTATAAGCAGGTATAATTATTAATCATATATATTATTGTTATACAGTATATAGCATTGTAATTATAGTTTTACGTAATAATAATACTAATAAAACATAGGATAAAATTATTAATATTTTTATTAATATGCTTAGTAAGCATATTAACGTACATATTAACGCACATACTAACGTACATACACTAACGTATATATATTAAAATACTCATTACAAGTACAAAATAGTTTCATATACTAAAGTACTTTATATATATATTAATATATAGTTTTTAAATAATAATAAAAATAATAAATAATTAAATTAAATAAAATAATTTTTTTTTGAATTATTATTTTTTTTTTAAATAGTGTTTATTAATTTAACAATTATTAATTGTTAGTTTTAATTTTTTGTTTTTAAATACTTTGATTTATATATATATAATATTTAAACCCTACTATATTAAGCAAATCAAACGGCACGTCACCAAAAAAAATAAATAAATTGTATGAATTATACTAAAAAAAAATTAAAAAAAAATAACTATACATTTGTTTATAACTTTCACTAAAGACTCAGTTATCCGCTAAACTGTTATCCAAAACAAACAAACAAAAAACGCAAAATCTTTTGCCATCACATGATTACACTTTATATTATTAAAAATAAAAATCTTAAATACTAATAATAAATATGTATTAATTCATTGATTTTATGTATCTATTGTCACCAAAAAAAAAACAAAACAATAAAACTTGTATTAATTAATACAATATAAAAGTATATTTATGTTAACATTTTTATTTAATTTATACTAAACCTTAAACAAAAATTAAAATTTTTTAATTGTTAAGATCCTAGAGAACTAATAAACTAATAATTGATTTTATAAAAAAAATATTAATTAAATTTTATTCTAAAATTAAATTTTTATTGAATTTGTTATAATAAGTTTATGATACCAAATCATAAATTCAAGTAAACTAATTGTTTAGAAAAACAAAATTGTAATATATTTAAAAAATATTAAATCAATATAACAAATATAAAATAACAGTTTTTTTTGTTTTATTTTGCAGTAATAAAATTAGTAAAATAAAATTAATTTATAAGCTTATTAAAATTTTAATTATTAATTACTAAATAAGTGATTTTAAAATTAATTTACTGGTATTAATACTATATATTTTTTTGTTGTTGTTGTTGTAAACTATAGGTTAATTAATAATTTTTTAAATTAATTAATTTATTTAACTTAAAGAAAACTCAAAAACTATTAAATGTAAGTTATTGTATAATTTTAATACAATGATTTGTTTCTAATATTATGTATTTATTAGAAGTTATAAATATATTAAAATACACTACTACTGTATATTAATAGTACACCGTTGTCAAACATTATTCCGACAATAAAGATTAAAAATACACTATATAGCAAATTATTACATAAATAATGTCATAAATATAATATTATAATATAAACCCCCGAATTATAATAACAAATAAATGTCAAAAAAAATTTAAACACTTTTCGTAAATATATGTCTAGTATTTATTTATTTATGTTTAATTAAATTATTAATACAAATGCCATTATTTTTATAACAGACATCAATTCTTCTAATAAAATTATCTATAAGTTTAGGAAATGTTGAATGACGAATATTTTGAAAAGCAATTGTTATCCTATTTTTTTAACTCTTCAGTATTATTAGGTAATGTATTATATTGAAAAATATCAGATTTAATTGCACCCCATAGGTAAAAATCACAAGGTGTGAGATCGGGTGATCTACTCGGCCAAATATCATTTGTTTTTAAACTAACCAAACGATTTCCAAATACTTCTTTAAGATAATTAAGTGTTTCGATAGCTAAATTTATAAAAAAAATGACATTAGAGGGAATCAAATTAAATAATTGTTTCATTGAATGAACGGCTGATATCATAGCATAGGTGTGTATTTTAAGTGATTGAATTACATAAATTTATTAATTAACCTGTGTGACAACTGGCCCCGTCCTGTTGAAAAATTTGTTTATTGAATTTATCGCCAGTGAAGTTATGTAATTGAGGAATAAAATATGTTTCCAACATATGTCGATAGGTAATTTGATTGACCACAACACGTTTGTGATCTTCATTTTCAAAAAAATAAGGGCCTATTATTCCTATTTAAAAAATAAAAAAATGTACAGTTTTTTAGATATAAAATTATTAAAATGTAAGGCTGTATGACAATATTTACCTTTTTTTGAAATAGCTGCCCAAACTGTAACATAATCAGGATGAGCAGTTTTTTCAATTACAAAATCAGTAGGTCTTTCAGTAGCCCATTTTCTGAAATTTTGTTTATTTATATAG